GGGCAGCACTCCCAGCTCCCGGCCAGCAGGTTACAAGCTGGACAGAAAATGAGTTGGCGGGCTAGCCTGGCTCTCCCCAGCGTCCTTCTACTCAGACTGCTTGCTCTGCAGCTTCCCACTAGCATAAGCAGGGCCCCCAGGCTGTCTGCTCCTGCTCCTCACGTCTCTGCATTTTGGGTATTTGGTGGACAGGGAGGAAAAGGGAGATCCCAAAAGACTTCATTTTACTAATTATTTCTGGTTTCAGTCACCAAGGCTAGCTGGAGGGAAGGGAATTAAAGATTAAAATAAGCACTGAGAGGAACACCTGGCTGGCTCAGTCGGTCACCATCTCGATGTCATGAGATGGACCCCCCCCCCCCCCCCCCCCCCTTCCCCACCCCTGTGTCAGCTTTGCACTCAGCACAGAGTCTGCTGCAGGTTCTCTGCCCTTCCCCCCACTCTTGCATGCGCAAACACTCTCTCTCCAATAAATACATTCTTTAATAAAGTGAGTGCTGAAGTAACTAACAGTCAGTATCTATTGTGGCTTAGCAAGTTGGTCCTTCCCAGGGAAACCTAGAAATGAACTGGTAACTGAAAGTCTTGGGACTCATATTTTAGCCCTTACCAGAAAGTCTGAGGACTCAGTTTTTTTTTGTTTTTTTTTTTTGTTTTTTTTTTTGTTTTTGAGAAAGAGAGCATGCAGGTGTGCACTCATGAGCCAGGTGGGAGGGGGTATTTGGGGGACGAGACTTGGGGGATTGAGGGGGATAGATTAAGGAGAGGCTTAACTGATTGAGTCACCCAGTCCCCCCATAGCTTAAATTTTAAAGCTGACCTTCCCAGAGGCAGCTCAGTCCTTGTTTCTTGACTTGTAGAATCACCTGCTTTTGGGAAACTCATCTCAGAGGCTTGGCATCATGAGGCAATTGCGTCTTCCTTCTTTAACACTCAAATGGGTCAGGTGCAGCTAACCCTTGACAACACAGGTTTGAGTCATGCAGGTCCACTTCTATTCAGATTTTTTTCAATAAGTACAGCATGACTATAAATGTATTCTCTCTTCCTTATGATTTTTCTTTATATTTTCTTTTCTCTGACTTGCTTTATGGTATGAATATAGCATATAACACATAGAACGTACATACAAATGTGTGTTGTTTGTTATTGGTACGACTTCGGATAAACAGTAGGCTTTTCATTGTTAAGTTTTGGGGGGAAGCAAAAGTTACATACAGATGTTCGACTTCATAGGAGGTCATTGCCTCTAACCCTCATGTTGTTCCGTAGTCAACTGTGTAAGTTTTCCCAAGAACTATTTCCTCTTCCTGACATTTTATTTTATTTATTTTTTCAAGATTTATTGGGGGGGAGGGGCAGAGGGAGAGGGAGAGAGAGAATCTCCAGCAGACCCCCCCCCACTGAGGCAGAGCCTGATGTGGGGCTTGAAGTGAGGCTCAATCCTAGGACCCTGAGATCACAGCTTGAGCAGAAATCAAGAGCCAGATGCTTAACCTGGTTTCCCTGACATTTGATTTTTAATTTTTTTTTCTTTAAATAGACTCCATGCCCAGTGTGGGGCTCCAACTCACAACCCTGAGATCAAGAGTCACACACTCCACTGACTGAGCCAGCTGGCTCCCTCTTCTTGACATACTACTAATAATATAATACACAATAAATTATTACTCATTTTACTTGGCACAAACATTGGGAAGGACACATTCATAGGACACACACTCTGTAATAAGTACATATTATCCCAGACCTGTACATTCTTTTCTTCTTTAAACCTTGTCCCATTTTGCAGATGAGAAAACTGAGCCACAGTTAAAGTAACAAGCCAAGTCACAGAGCTCGTACAGGACCCAACAAGTCAGGGTCTGTGTTGTCCGCACACCCTGGGGGTGGTGATGGCCCGTGAGTGTCCCAGTGGGTAGTGTGTGACTCATGGTGGTAAGTCAGATGGGAGGAACGTTCTTGAAGCTCCCCAACCCCACTGTAATCCAGTGAAAACAAAACACTGAGATCATAGATAGCTTGTTCATGGACAATTTTTAAACTACACAGCTATTAAATTCCCACACAAAGCTTAGAGAGATTAAGAAATTAACCCAACAACACTCAGCTCATAAAACCCTAAATCCTGGAAGATTAAGACCAGTACTTACTAACACTTCAAGCATGGGGCTTATAGGGCTCTGTGATAATTTAGGGAAGATGATCTGTGCTTTCTGAGGACTTCAAAGAAAAAGTTATTTTAAAAGTATAACAATATTGTAATGATGCCATATGAACATAAAAGAAGAAATGTTTAAAAAATGATTCCCCACCCCGGGCCTAACTGCCCTAACACCGTACTTTTATTTTTCCATCTCCTTTTGGTGACTGGCCATATTTATGCATACTTTACATAATTATCATCAAGGCAAAGATCCAGTGGAATTTCCCAGTCAACCATTAATCATAGCATTTTTCAGTGTCGCTACGTTTTCTTCACTATACCCATTTTATCGATAAACTAGGATTTTCTTAGGCTTTCACTGATTTCTCCGTTTTTCCTTCCTCTCTCCCTCTGCCTCGCCAGCCTCCCTGCCCTGTGACTTCACATGATCCCTGCTGATGTTAAGGGTTGCGATCCAAAATCGGCCCCAGACAAAACTGGACTGAAGCCATAAAATCGTGGTTTGGGTTTTTGGAAAGGAAGTCGTAATTTGGGGGCAGGGGAGCCTTCCCACTTTTCAAATGTGACACTTTCTCTCCCTTCTCCCAGCATTAGTTTTGCCAAGCAGTAATCTGCCTCTGTGAGGCACACCTTTAAGAGCAGTTAGCCTCTGACAGCCGCAGCCAAGTTCTGTTAACAGAGCCGAGCTGATGGAAAAAGCGGTGTACCTGGTCGCCCGGGCTACGCCTCCAGTGTGCTTTAGCTATTAGTTGCAGGCTGGGAGCACTTAAAAATAAATCATCCAGGTCAAGGCAAACATTAATCCTTGCTCCAGAGCTTGTTAATTTTTTAAGTTAATGAGCTGGAGCAGAGGCACTAGAATGTTCACAGTCTGAAGCCTCCCCCCACCAGCAAACCAGGGGTCAGACAGTGTATTTTCTGACCTCGTGGGTGGTCGATGTCCCAAACTGTATGCAGCAGTTTCTGTTCTGCTGATCCTAGGCTGGCCCACAGAACTGAGCTCTTCTGCTGATTCGCTGTCCCCTACAGCGAGCTCTTGGGTCACTAGTGGGTAGCATTTCAAGATTTGGACTTCTGCGGGTGCCTCGGTGGCTTGGTCAGTTAAGCGTCTGCCTTTGGCTCAGGTCCTGATCCCAGGTTCCCGGGATTGAGCCTTATCCGTCTCCCTGCTTCTCCCGCTCCTCCCTGCTTGTGCTCGCTTGCTCGCTCTCTCAAATAAATTAAATCTTTAAAAAAAGAAAAAAGAAAAAGATTTGGACTTCTGCTTTCAGGAAGTTGACAAATACCTATTTCTGAAGCCCTGCACTAGGGGTCTGGGAAGGTGAACGAGCTTTGGGGCCCTGTGTCAGCTCTAGGGGCTTGCAGTCAAGTGGGAGAGCTCTAAACTTGAGAAGGCAACAGTTCAGGGGGCACATGGGTACTGCAAGGCTGACAGAAGTGTAGGGGAGTGAAGGCTTCCGGGAATGGAGAGTCAAGATGGGTTTCATTCACTCATTCAACAAATATTTATTGAGCTGGGAACATTGTAATGGATGCTGGTAAAACTGCATTTGAGTCTAGGGTAAAGCAGATGCCAAGACAGTGATTTCGGAAAGTAGGATTAAGAAACTAAAAGAAGATCTGGAGAAAGGGCTTTCCAGACCAAGGGAATAGCAGGTGCCAAGGCCCTGAGGCAGCAGGAGCCCAGTCTGGGAGAGTTAGTGCATAGGCCCCTCTCCACCTTCAGGTCTTGGCTGCAACATCTCCTCACCAGAGAAGCCTTCTCTTCATCCTCTCTCAAATAGTACATCACATTTCACTTGCCTCCCACACACCCTGCTTTTTTTTTCTTGTTGGTATTCATGACATGATTTTACATTTTATAATCATTTTTGGTTTGCTTGCTTGCTGTCCCCAGCTAGAAAGTGAACTCTGTGAGATCTGGGACTTTGTTCTGTTTATTCCTATTCCTCAGGTGCCTAACCTGTTGCCTGGTACAGAGTAAATGCTTAGTGAATGCTGAGATGGCCAAATGAAAGTTTCATGTGGTTGAGCATAGAGAACAGGGGAGACAGTGGTATAAGATTCAGAGGACATAGATGGGAAGGAGGGAGCGCCAAGCATTTATGAGGGAATTGTGTAAATCCTCTATAGGGACCATGCAAACAAAAGATGCACAGGGGCCTAAGAAGTCATCTAGAAGGCAAACCAAAGAGCCCTCAGTGGGAATCACAGCAAGCAGTAGCCCTTCTTCTACCTACTACATTGATCTTTCCTCTTTTCCTCCCCCTCTCTCTCCTTTCCTTTCTCTCTTCTATTTTTCTTCCCATGTTTTTTGAGCACTTACTATGCTCCAAGCCCCACTGACCCCAGAGATACAAAAGAGGAACAAGACATGGTGGGATATTTGACTTCAGAAAGAGCAATGGCCCATCCCAAAGATTTGGAAGGAAAGATTCAAATGACGCCCAAATGTAGGGAACTGAATTATTTGGGCATAAACTTGTATGTGTGTTCCTAGTTTTTCTTATAGCTTAGAGTGTAAACAATGACATCTGATAATTGGCTTAGAGATCATAGTTCTAGGAGTTCATGTCTGACTCACTAACGCTGATGGATGTGTATATATTTCTATAACTGAGAGTCAAATAATTATTATAAAGAATTAACGTAGCCATTGGCAAATAAGATCAACGTAAACATGCGAAGTCAATTCACATGGATTTAATGAAAAGGCTATATAAGGATAATAGAAGTATTTGACTTACCAGGGGAGGAGTGTGTTTGTGTGTCAACCTCTTTGATGGGACTTTGCAGGAAAAAGAATTGTGTTGTCTCATTTCCTTCCCCTCAGGAATAATCCCGGCTAATGGGAAGGTGAACGTGACCGTCAAATTTACACCATTCAAGTACGGGATTGCACAGATAAAAATGCAGCTGTGGATCTCACAGTTCAACTCTCGGCCGTATGAATGTGTCTTCACTGGAACGTGCCGTCCCAACATGACTTTACCGTATGGTTGCTTTGGAATGTCTTTGTTTCTTCCTAAAACTTTGTAAAAAAGATCTGAGTCTCCATGTCTTCCATTCTTTCTTTGTTTTGTAACAAAATGCCATCAAAAACCGTACTTAAAATGATGCACTTTCAGAAAATACTCTTTAAAGTCTAACAGTAATGCATAGAATAGCTCTAGGCTTGTGGCGGTAGCTGTTCCTGCCTCGAGGGAAGAGATGATCAAGAAAAGGTAGATGGAGGGATACTTGCCTTCACTGAACCCTGCTGGTTGATCATATGACCAGTTTTAACCATATGTGTGTATTATATATGTGTGTATCACATGATATATATCTCTGACCCTATGTATTATGGTCTTCCAAATTTTTTTCTAAGATTTATTTATTTGAGAGAGAGAGCACCTACTATGGGGAAGGGCAGAGGGAAAGGGAGAAGGACTCTTAAGCAGACTCCACGCTGAGCACAGAGCCCAACATGGGGCTCTGTCCCATGACCCTGAGATCACGACCTGAGCCAAAATCAAGAGTCAAACACTTAACTGACTGCACCACCCGGGTGCCCCCATTCTTTCAAATGTAAACCATAAGACAGGAGCAGCATAACCATTTTCAAAATTTCAGTATAACATTATAATGAACTGAGGGCCTGCTGTGTGCGGTGTCCACTGCAAAGCCCCATGGGACATGGTCCACACTCTGAAGATGCGCCCAGCAGAGGGACCAAAAGAAGTCGTGGATCACAAGTGACTTCAGCATAGGGCAAAAATGAGAACTTGCCACATGGGAGGTTTCGTTGGGGTTTTGTTTTTTAAGAACCCTCAGCATTCAAGTCTGCATAAAGGTGTGAAATGGGATTAAGTTTTACTTCATAAAAATTTTTTTCCAAACCCCTATTTCTGTTTGAATGTGAGCTTGTATTTTTATATCCCTACGTACCTGGTTAAAATGGTAAGTTTTTCCCAATATGCATGATACTTATAAAAGCTGAAGGAAAACTTGTCACAGTTTTGATCCTAACCTTGGAAAATCCTTATAGATTTTTGAAAATGATAAAGAAATAGCTGGCCATTCCTTCTCTCCCCTCACACATAGATAGACCTCACATAGCACCCTCATTCGGCATATTATTATGTAGAGTAACATCCTTATATCGAAACATGAACTAATTCCATGACTCATTATGTATTTATATCATGATCTTCTTCCAAAAACTTCAAAGCAGCCTGAATCAACTGTAGGATGTTAGGGTGGCCTGCCGAACCCAAATCCTGCAGTTACTGTAGGAGAAAGAAAATCATGCCAGCAATAAACAAGTAACACTGGATATAAATAAAAGGCAGTAGTAATTTTTCTGCTATTTTCTGGCCAAGAAAATGTGATTTGCCATGTCACGTCACGTGCTGCGATGTACAAATGACTTTCTTAAGGACATCACTTGAGTGGAATTTTTGCTTCCCACAGATGTGTTCTTAAAAACACAAGAGCGTTGTATGGAAGAAACACCACGCAAATGGCAGGCATCCCCTCTTTCTAAACTTTTTTTTTTTTTTTGGTCACCCAGCTGGAGTTTAATATCTTATTTAGTGCACTCCTGAAGTTTACAAGGACTCCGTCTCAAGACCTGCATGTCTCTCCAGACTGCAGATAGTACTAGAAACTATGAGCTTTTTCCATGCAGGAAAAGAATTAGCCAGGCTATGGCATTCTCTGAAAAGTGTCACAGGCAGCTTCTTGTTGTTATTTTCAGAATGAAGTGTAGGAGGGACTTACTCAGGTCCCACGAGTAACTCCTTAGGAAAATGTATCACTTTCTTAGACCCCTTCATGTCCATTGTCAGCAGTCAGATCCTTTAAGGAACCTGTTCTGTTTTGTTTTTTAACAGTTTCAAAAATTTTTTGTTGTTCCCCTATATTTATAGCAGAGGGGATGTCAAAGTTCTGATGAAATATGGGTGGAGGGCCCCTGCTGGCTCCCTAACCCAGGGCCTCCACTGTGCCCACCACAGTCTGTTGGTCAATGTGTATGTCACTAAAGGCCACTTCCCTCAGGCCATTGACATTTCAGGATTCTCTTTTGTAGGCGATGTTAATTTTGAGATGGCTGGCACATCTCCTGTGTTGTGCAGTGGGGTCCATTCAGGAGATGTTCAGCAGATGGTTTGTGACCATCAGAATGAATGAATATCAGTGTATTCTTATTTCTGTAATATCAGGGACATACATAATCCTGCAAAACAGGCATTCACATATTCTCACTTAAAGAAATGCTTCATAGCACAGAACATGAAGTAGTTCTAGTACATCCCATAATATGATTCCAGGAGTTTCTGTAGGCAGGCTAGTAGCCCTGTCTGTACCTACATATGTCCAAAGACTTTTCAGTTGCAGAAAAGATCTCAAACATTAATCAGAGTCACTTGGGCATAGTCATTCTTTTACTAGGAACATACATCAGTGGAAGAACTTTTTTTTTAATGTAGTAAATTTAGCTATTGAAAACCAACAGCCGAGAAACAAATCACACTAGAGCAGGAGAGCATTTTCTAGCCTGTCATGTTATCTACTTGTTATGTTCTTTGAGAAGGTAAGGAGGAGCTGCCATTGGTAGACGATTTTGGCCTGTAAGATTATAGTGTGGTACACTGACATTGCATTCATTTTGGTAGACCACTGTTTTAGCACACAGATTTATTTTTAGTGTAGATAGAGTCACTACTGGACTGAAAGTCATGATATTATCAGAAGGAATCTAAAAATAGGAACCTTGTGGGACACCTGGCTGGCTCAGTTAGCACAGAGCACGCAACTCTTGATCTCGAGGTTGTAAGTTCGAGCCCCATGTTGGGTGGAGAGATTACTTAAAAAGCCTTTAAAAAATAGGAACCTTGGGGTGCCTGGGGTGGCTCAGTTTAACCTCTGCCTTCGACTCAGGTCATGATCCTAGGGTCCTGGGATTGAGCTTCGTGTCGGGCTCCCTGCTCTGTGGGGAGCCTGTTTCTCCCTCTCCTGTTCCCAAAATCCTAAAAAACAGTAGGAACCTTGAATTGTTGGATTATATAGTAATTTAATATCTGTTTTAAACTATAGATTAGAAGAATTTGAAAGATTAAATGCTCTTTCTAAGGAAGTGGACCGTCCTCCAGAAAAGGCAATGACACGCATACATTTTCAGCAGCTGCCACCAAAACTAAAGCCTCTGAAGATTAAGGTAACCTGGGCGTTATGCTCAATATGATGGAAGGAATGACAGAAAAGCACAATAATGACTTATCCCTCCTGATCTTGGTCTCAGGAAATTGAATATCAGAACTTGAGATTTCCGGTAGATTTATCAAATCCATATGCCGTGGCAACTGTTTTAAACCAAGAACCAGGAAAACTGAAGATTAAAGAATTAAGAGAAGGTAACTAGCTGATCCGTTCGTCACATTTACTATTTATGAACAACAACAGCAAAACCCAGTTAGGTTGCTGTTATGTTTTGCCATTAAAAACGTGTTTTTGTCTTGGCAAATGATGCTGATTTGATTACTGACATAATCATTGTTTGCTCTTGCCCTCAGTTTTGGACCAAGGCAATGAGATTTCAAAAACAAGACAGATGAAGGAAGCACTCTTTGAACAGAAAGTCAGACAGGACACTTACGAAGAGATCGAAAATCACCTTAAGTGGTAAATATTGAGCAGTTCAATTTATATCAAGGGAGAGGACAGCGTTTTTAGTAATGGCTTTTTATACATGAGACATGATGAAATGTAATCGCTTTGTGCCCTTTGAAAGGTTTCATTATTTCCTCTCCTCTACTGGACCTGAGACGTTTCTCTTTAGCATAAATCACCATGACCAAACCATGCTCTTTCCTAAGTGTGACCAGATAGTGGCAGAGACAGAGCAAACTGTGGGAGACACCAGGACACTGCTCCCTACTGATCACTGCTGCCAGCATCCTGTCTCTCCTTTAGGGGCCCCTAATCTCGCCCCCCACCCCACCTCAGCCCCCTGTACCCTGGGGTGTCTGCCCAGGTGCCTCTGGGGATCCCAGCAGTGCAGGCTGGAGTGGGGGAGGCTCTGGGTGGAGGTTCCAGAGCTCAGCTGTGAGACCTCTGTCCTGTTCTTCTGTGGTCAAAATACATCCCTGTCCCCAGGTTTTTACCGGATCATACCAGAACTATCCATGTGCCCAGACCCCACTAAACTTGAAAAACTCTTGAGCTGAGCTAAAAAAGAAACCCTTAGAAAGAGTCTTGGAGAGACCACTTGCCCATGCCCCACAGCCATACTTCTCAGACGGAGAGAACACTCGCCAACTTCCCAGGCCTTCACGGATGTCCCCCATCCCGCCACCCTGCTTGCCCGGGGCAGTGCCCTCCATGTCTCACAGAAGCATCTTTCCTTCCACAGCAGCCTCTCTCTCACAGTCTGGCCCTGGTTAAATGCGAAGTTCACCAAGTCACTGCAGATCATTTTTTAAAATACTCTTTCCCTGTTACAAAAAATGGCCACACTGTCATTGTAGAAAAGCTGAAAAATACATATATATTTTTTAAGGGGAGAGAAGTGGGGAAAAAAGTCTGTAATGCATTGACTGCCGCCAACACTGGGGTCTTTCCTTCCTTTGGTGCTTTTTTGTAGCGCGCCTGAGATCACAGCCGCAATTCAGTTCTGAAGGCTCTGTCATTCACTGACTATTTTCTTCCGGCTTTTTCTTATCAGAAAAAGAATTTAAACCTGCCAGTAACACCCACATACACTAGACATCGGTTCACTAGTTGTTGACATTATGCCACATACACTTGCACTGTCTACACACACACACACACACACACACACACACACACACACACACACACCTGCTTTTGAAGCATTTGAAAGTGAGCTGCAGACATCACGGAGCTTTGCTCTTAGAGGCGTTAGCACGTGGCTCCTAAGAACAAGGATATTCTCCAACAGCAGCCTCATCACTTCCAAGAAATCTAAAACTGACGCCATAATATTAGAATCACCAGCCTCTCTGCACATTCACCCAGTGGTCTCAATAATGTCCTTTCCATCTGGGCTTCTGTTTGGTTGGTTTTCGGAGAGGAAGACTCCGCCATCCAAACAAAGGTCAGACCATTTGTACTTAGCTTCCAGGTCTCTCCAGGCTCCTTCCGTCAAACAGTTCTCCAGACACCCCGTCCCCTTTTAAAATCATAGCAACTGTTTATTTTGAACATGTGCCAGGCTCCGTGATCAATACGTTACATACCAGAATTTTCTAAACTGTGCTAAAGTTCACAAAGCGCACAATTCACAATGTTAACCGTTTAAACGTGTACGATGCAGATGTTCTCATTGTATTCACAGGCTCATTCAACCGTCCCCATCATGCCACACTAAAACATTTGCATCACTCCAGAAGGAAACCCCATACCTATTAAGCAGTCACTCCCCATTCCCTCTCCCCTCCCTGCCCTCGGTCCACTTTCTAGCTCTATAAATTTGCTGATGCCGGACATTTCAAGTGAATGGAATCCTACATACATAGGGGGCCTTTTGTAACTGGTTTCTTTCATTTAACACAGGTTGGAGGTTCATCTGTGTCATAGCATCTGTCAGGACTTTGTTCCTTTTTTATGGCCGTGTAATGTTCCATTGCATGGATTGACTACATTTTATTTACTCATTTATCAGTTGACAGGCATCTGGATGGTTTACACTTTTTGGTTATTGTGAAGAAGACTGCTGTGAACATTTACATGCAAGCTTCTGTTGAACACATCTTTTCAGTTCTCTAAGGTGGGGAATTGCTGGGTCATATGGTAAATCTATGTTTAGCATTTGGAGAAACAGCCAGACTGTTGCTATAGTCTCTACAACTTCTCTCCCCCGTGGCCCACCTCCAGTATCTCCACACCCCCTTCGGTTGTTGAGAATAGCAAAGACACTCCATCCCCAAACTGACCGTGGTATTCTGAAGGGCTCTGGAAGCTGGGTTTGTTTGTTTGTTTCCTCCCCAGGCAGGTGCACCTCGGTAGAGATCATATGTCTTTTAAATTTAGAAAAGACCTTGCTGAAGAGCGGCAAAGAGAAAACATCAAATATAAGGTCAGAGTCACTAATTCAATGGTACTGATTGCGCTAAATAGTTTGAATTCCTGCTATATGCAAGAGGGCACATGGGAAGAAGGAACACATAGTTCCGTTGAGAGGGGAGGAGGCTGATGACAAGTTAATTGTTAACCATAAATCAAGGCTGGCTGTAGATGTCACAAGAAACCTCTACTAAATATTGTGGGGAGTCAGAGGCCAAAGAGGAGAAAGAGCTCATCTAATTGGAAAGCTTCCTCCAAGACACGGTATGATTTTGAAAGGCAGTAAAGAGGACAAAGGCGTTTAATTCAGAGGGAGGGCAATGCCTCAAATTCAGGTTGGAGTTCTGGGTGTGGCATACGCCTGCCCCGTGATCTGCAGAGCACGAGAGTAAGAGGGACCCACGGACAGGGACCAGGAGTGACGCCAGAGCCAGAGCCAGAAAAAAGTTCCAAGCCAGCGACCCTCAAGGGGGCCTGAGCCGAGAGAATGACACACTGGTTGAGGGGAGGGGCCGCGGCCGGCTTGTCAAGGCGGCACCTGCAGATTCAGGGGGGGAGGGGAGAGACGGGAATGGCGGAACTGTGCCACACCCCTGGGCTCACCGTGTGTGAGAGACCTTGTTCGCTGAGAGCAGGTGCGGGGGGCGCTGGGGACAGGCCCATAGTCACTGAAGCACAGGGCACTCGCGGGCCAGAGGAGATAAGGCTCGGCTCGGGCTTCCTGCCTCAGGGGCTGGGACTTTGTTGGGAGGACTGACGGAACCATCCTGTGTGGTACTAGTCTGCTCAGGCTGTGGTAACAAGTACCAGACTGGGAGGTGTAGGCAACAGAAATGTGTTTTCTCACTGTTCTGGAAGCCCAAGGTCAAGGTGCATGATCTTCTAAGGGACACGAGGGAATGATCTCTCTTCTCGACCTACAGACCATATTTTCCCTGTGCCTTCACATTTTTTTCCTCTTTCCAAACTTCTTCTTATAGAAGACACCGGTCACACTGGAGTAAGGCCCACCCTGTGACCTCCTTGTAACTTGATTACACCTTCAAACACAGCGTTTTCAAACACAGTCACATTCTGAGGTGACTGCGGGTTAGGATTTCAACATATGAGCTTTGGAGGGACATAATTCCGCCATAACACATATATTTAAGCTTGGGATTGTGAGCTTCCCATGGTCAGTACTACACGAAGTGGCCACACTGGGTGGGAGGGATTAGGGAAAAACATGGATCTTGTTGGATAGGAATCTATTTTTCTTCCTAGAATACATTTTTCTTACAGAATACATTTTTCTTCCTAGAGCTTCTTTCTGATTGGATTCCAAATCAGATACTCAAGTAAATTTATCTTTTCTTTATTTTTTACAAGAGAGAATGTAAAATGATTGCATCAGTAAACCTTAGCATTTAGGGAAGGCAAGTATTAGATTGACATTGAAATTTAGTTTGATTCTGGTTCTGTTTCTCTGCACTGGATTTTAAAAACAAAACATTGAGTATTCTGTCCACCCCACAACGGGATGATAACCATTTTAGAGATGAAGGTGACACAAACGTGGCACAACCAGGCAGGGCAGTGTGACAGCAAAGGCTGGATTGCCAGCCTTTGGTCGCCAGGGAACTCAACTGTGTATTTGCCTTGCAAGCGTGTTTAACAAGTGCTCTTTGTCTGTAAGACTCTGCTAGTGAATGAGCCACTGTCCCTGCCCTCCAGAAAGGCACAGTCCACAAGGGGCACAGAAACATTAAGAGATGATTTAAAATGTGCCAAGTGCTGTCACAGCTGGCAAAGAAGGGCAGGGGATCGAATGGTTCATAGGCATCCCGCTTAGGTGCGTGCTGGCGATTTTAAATGAGATCCCAAATACAGAAGAGAAGTTCAACTTAAGACATGTTACACATGGAGGGCCTGGAGGGCATCCTGGTGGTGGCTACAGGAACAAGTATACCTCAGCAGAGAGGTGGAGAGTAGACGCAGAATAGCGCCATGGACTGGGGAAAGTTAATGGAGCGAGAAGCTGGTAGCTCCAGGTGGGAAAGCCAGAGAACCTCATGATTTGAGGGGAGAGCAGCAGATATCGAAGGAGCCAGAAGGAGAAATGGTCAGGGAGGTCAGGAGAACCGGGTGACACTGAAAAAGCAGATGGGGAGGGATCCAGGATGGTGGGGCCCGAGAAGTACATGGTGTGTTGGACCACTTAGAAGGCCTGTTTTGCCATAGCGATAGCCATCCCGGGAGAGAAGTGGAGATGAAAAGCCAAATGGCCACAGCTCAAGGAATGCAAGGAAGTGAGTGGCTGGTTTCTTGAGAAGCTGAGATGACCAGAAGCGAAGAATCAGGGCATGGACCATTCCAAGGGGATGTGGTGTCAAAGAGCAGGTTTCTAAGTTGGAAAACTCCAGAGCATTTGTACACTGAAGGCAAAAAACAACCGCAGAGGGAAGGGCTAAAGAAATTTGGGAAGAGGCCTTGGTCGGAGGGGAAGACTGACCTTGAGGAAGGACATGGTGTCAGGCTCGCATGCCGAGAGAGGGCCGTTGAAGGCTGCATGTGGCCTTGTCCTTCTGGGTGCCCCAGGAGGCCAGGCCAGCTGCAGAGATAGCCATGAGCACTGGTTGGAGAGTGGCCTGCAGAGAGGAGCTAGTAGTCACAAGGGTAGCCAAGGGGAGAAGGAAAGAAGACTTCATGTGCTTAACATCACTCACTGGGCCCTTGAGCCCCAGTGTAGCTTGGCAGCAAGTGCTGAGGGACCCTATTCTGTGTGTCTGGGAGCGCTCATCAGGCAGCTGAATCCTGGCGGGTGACCCAGTGGCAAGGAACACCTGAAGGCCCAGGCCATGTGGCAGAAAGCTGAGACAAGGGATCTGGGCGGGGAGATGGGGGTGTGGGGAGGGCAGGAGTGGAGGGAGTGGGAGTGGGCAGGATGATGGGCTTTTACCCAGGAGATGGTTGATGATAGTAAATTTCAAAACACATCATAATAAGTAGAGTCTTGATATAAGACCTTACCCTCCTCTCTCTTCTAGCTATCAACCTATTTGCTAATCCCTCCTTTAAGATGCTATTTTATTTTATTTTATTTTTAGTGGTGGTGGAGGTCTGGGTCTCTTCCCACAAAATCTGTCTTTCGAGGCTAACATCCATAGTCTCAGTCTCAGACTCAGCTCCCTGATATGTGCAAATCAGAGCTAGACAGCTCACCACCTGGTGTCAATAACAAACTCTCTCGTTTCTTCTGTTAATATGGTGATCGGAATAGATTGCTTCCAGTTAAGTCTTTAAAAATTATGGCAAACAGCATACATACAAGCCAAGCTAGATCTGGAAGTAATTTAACAAGTAATAAAAACCACAAATAGGTAAAAACTAACAAGCTTTTGCTGTGGACACAGTCCCTTTTTCCATGGAGGCAGGTGTATGCAGACACCAAGCCAAGCCCAGCCAGCCAGGCTTCCGGGGGAGTGTGCCATGTCTCCTGGGTAATGGGCCAGAGAGCTCCAGGGTCCTGGGGAAGCAGGAGGTGGGGAAGGGCAGCAGCCTGGGAGAAGACACTTATTCCAGGGAAAGGGCAGATCCCAGAAGAGGGGAGGACTTAGGCACCTTTGTTAAACCCCGTACTGGGATAATCAGCTCTGAGGAGGAGCTTGAAACTTTAAGTTCTTTTTAAAATGAAATCTCTACACTCCCGTGGTTACACGGTTTCTTATAAAATCCTTCTGGTGAGTTTTAAATGCTTTGGAAATGATTTCCAGAGCCACTGTCCCCTGGTTATGGAAAGAAAGTTCTGGGTCCACTCAGCTGTTAGAACCCCCTATGTTTAAACAGTGAGTATGATTATAATGAGCCCTTTAACTCTCTGTCACCCACTCCCAGCCAGAACTTCGTGTGTGGTTGTGACTGATGCTTTGATAGGTTTCTATCAGCTTTAAAGAGATATACAGTTGTGTGTGTTTGTCTTCAATTTCAATATTTTTGGTGATTGAAAAACCCAGGTAGATCGAGGAGATCCTGTTTTGGATGAGGAATTTCAGCGCACCAAGACAGAAGTCCACCAGAAACGGGTTGTTCATAGTCTAGAAGAAGTGGGTAACTTTCCTTTATTTGGGAGCTAATTATCAATAGCCCTTTATATTCTTATTTTTAAAACACTAAACAATTTTATAGAAATGCTTTTACCAAGAGATATTTACTAAGTTTTAATTTGCATTTTAATTTATATTTTCAGAGTGTTTTTTTACTATATATTTGCAAGTGAAGTATCAAAAATCATGATGTTTCCCTTAAAATTAACAGCATTAAATTCTTTGGCTCCTCCTTTATGCCCTTCTACTTTCTCTTTCTTGGTCTTCTTTTTTGTTTCCCTTTGCTCTCTAAGCCCCTGTCTGCAGGTCCTTCCTGGTGGGTCTCTGAGCCTATGTTCCTTGCCTCCTGCCCTTGGTGGGAAGGATACACAACAGGAGGACAGAAGCTAGAGATTCTCAAGCTCTCTTACAGATTTGGGACCTAGGAAAAGCCCTCTTAGTTTCTGTACCTCAGTCTCCTCAAATATAAAATGGGGACAGTGGCTCCTTCCCCTGAGTGTCCTCTGTCATGTGATAGTATCTGGTTAAAACCCCAATTTTTAATTTTAATGATGAGACAATTTGAGAGACAGAGAGAACACAAGAACAGGGTGAAGGGCAGAGGGAGAAGCAGACTCCTAGCTGAGCGGGGAGCCTGACAGGGGCTGGATCCAGAACCAGTCCTGGGATCATGTCCTGAGCCAAAGGCAGATGCTTAACCAACTGAGCCACCCAGGCACCCCTACACCCAGGCACCCCTACACTGTCAATTTATTAAAACCCAAATCTCAAATTCCACTTTTGGCCCCCAACCCAAGAAGTATTCCCTATACTGCTACGTTACACTAGGAGTGTAGAATAAATGCTCATTCCATGGTGGAACAGATAAGTCATAAGTTGATTTAGGGTCAGGCTCTAAAACGTTTTTTTTTTTTTTTTTTAAAGATTTTTTATTTATTTGACAGAGAGAGAGATCACAAGTAGGCAGAGAGGCAGGCAGAGAGAGAGGGGAGGAAGCAGGCTCCCTGTGGAGCAGAGAGCCCGATGCGGGGCTCGATCCCATGACCCTGAGATCATGACCTGAGCTGAAGGCAGAGGCTTTAACCCACTGAGCCACCCAGGTGCCCCTCTAAAACGTTTTTATTAAGTGCTCCTACCTGGAGTTAAATTTAAACCTAAGATATGCCTGTGTTCTATTTTCACAGAAAATCAAGGAGTTCCATCCTAATTTTGATCCACTCGTTAATAATACCTGGGTCAACAGGTTCAGGGCACAAAAGCGCTTTCAGCAAGCTGCACGCAAGGTAAGTCCCAGCACCAAACGGAAATTTTAATTGGCTTAGTCCTCAGCACAAGAAAATCGAATGACTTTTTCTAACAGTTTTATTGACATATAATTCATTTCCTGTAAAATTCACTCTTGTAAAGTATACATTTTGGTGGGTTTTAATGTATTTACACAGTTCTACAGCCATCACCACGATCTAACTTTAGAACATTTAAAAAATTTTATTGAAGTGTAGTTAGCATACAATGTTATAGTAGTTTCAGGTGTAAAATATAGTGATTTGACAATTAATTTTAGAATAACTTTTTATCACTGCAAAGAGAAACCTGGTTCCCATTAGCAGCCCCTCTCCATCCCCCAGTCCTTGGCAACCAGAGATCGGCTTTCTGTCTCTATGGATTCACCCTTTCTGGACATTTCATACACACGGAATCATAGGGCACATGGCCTTTTGTAACTGGCTCTTTCACTCAGCTGGTTTTCAAAGTTCATCATGTGGTAACCTGTACCAGTACTTCATTTCTCTTTTATGGGTGGATACTATCCCATCATCCCATCGTGTAGATACGCCATATTGTATCTTTTCATCCACTGAAACATTTGTGTTGTTCTCACTTTTTGGTCATTATGAATAATAATGTTATGAACATTCCATTCGTGTACATGTTTGTGTACATGTTTTCAGTTCTCTTGGATATATACCTAAGAGTAGACTTGCCCTGTCATGTGGTAACACTAGAGCAGTTGGACTTTGATCAGTTACTTCTAGAGAGAGCAATCGCTAATTCCTGTGGGATCTAGTCTCATCCAGGCTTATGGCTTTCCCTTCAAGATGTGTCATCTCATTTCACCCTCATGGTGGCTTTCCACCCAACCCATTAGAGCCTCCAATGGCTTGCTGTGATCGGGATAAAAAATAAAAGGTGTCTTAAAAAAAATTAAAAAAATAAAAAATAAAAAAATAAAAGGTGTCAGTGACTCCCTAGTCTAGCTGCAGCCATACCTCTCTAGCCTAGCCCCACCCTCCACCCCGCTCCCTACCTTCATCCTCTGTGTGGTCCCAGTCCTCATCTCCCAAACACACCAGCCCGTTCCCTACTACAAACCTTGTCATGCTTCACCTGAAGAGACATTCCATCTCCCCTCCATGTGCATACTTGTCCTATGAGCCAGCATGAGCCCACCGAGCCATCACCAAGCCAAGGTGCCTCTTGCTTCTTATGCTGCTAGTAGATCCCTTGTCCCAGCCACTCGAGTGCAGCCGCCTTGCAGAGGAGAGTCATTCCTCAAGCAGGGGAGAGCCGTGCTCGAAACCTGGACTCTGGAGCCAGGCTGCCTGCCTCTAATTATTCTTTTTCTTTTTTTTTTTTAAGAGAGAGAGAGTGAGAGAGAGCATACATGTGAACAGTGGGGAAGAACAGAGGGAGAGAAGGAAGCAGATTTCCCGCTAAGCAGGGAGCCCGACATGGGGCTTGATCCCAGGACCCTGGGATCATGACCTGAGCCAAAGGCAGCCACTTAATGATTGAGCCACCCAGGATCCCCTGCCCTTAATTCTTGATGCCACTAATGAGCTTTCTGATCTTGGACAAGTTCTATAACCTCCATTAGCTTCCTCCTCCTCCGTAACTGAGGATCACAGTAAGACCTGTCTCGGAGTTGTTGTGAACATTAACTGGGCGAATATGTATAAGGGACTCCAAAAGTTTATAAACTTTCTCCATCGAGCAGTGTTTTTAGCCTGGACTGAGGACCGTCTAGGGGAGAGACAGAGCTCACTGATCAGTGACCTGCGCACCAGCCTCCAGGGTCCTGCGGGACCCTATCCCTGCTGAGATTCTGTCTGGGTGGGCTGCTATGTGCAGAACAGAGGTGGCCACAAGGAGCTCAGTGTGGGGAAGGAAGTGGTGGAAAGAGGCAGGGCGAAGCTGTGCTCCAAGGCAGGAGGGCACAGCTGTTGACAATGGGCAAACAGCAGCGATACGGGCCAGGCTGGCTTCTCCATGAGTGCGACCACCTGGCCTTTCTGGGCTGAGCCCTCCAGGGTGATAAAGGTATTGTCAGCTGTTGTGTGCTTTGCTCTGAGCGATGGCTCAGTCTTTCCCTCACTCCCCAGATGAGTCAGATCAAGGCGCAGATATGTCCCCAGCCTGATGACTTCCTGTCATCTCTCCAACTCAGCCACAGCCCTGTCATCCCCTGCCTAGACCAGTGTGACTCGCCCTGCCTTCCCTGCTTCCAGTCTCCCCCACAGCAGCCACAGTAGTATTCCCGAAGCCAAAAGGTGAGGGTACCCCTCCTCCGGTAAAACCCTCCAAAGTCTTCCCATTGCAACTGGAATGAAGCATAAAACTTTTTTCAAGGCCACAGGCCACTCTGGACTTCTCTCTGTCCCTTAGACCTGTCTCCTTTGTTCCTGAAGCAGGATCTTCCTCTTTGCTATTTCCTCTGCTCTGAATTCTCTTTTTCAGATCATTCTCTCCTCATCATTCCAGTTTTAGATCAAACCTCACCTTCTCAGTGAGGTCTTCCATCATTACCCTTGCAGCAGTGGCCAGACCACTCCCCTCCCCACGTCCTCCCCCATCATGCCCTCGGGTATGTGAGCGCGCGTGCACACACACACACACACACACACGTTAGAATGTCAGTTGGGTGCAAGCAGGAACAACCGCATCTGATAAGCCTTGAACAGAACTGACCGGGCATCAGCACGTCATACTATTAATTTGTTAAATGAGAGCCCCTTATGGGATGGAAAGGGCTATTAATCATGGAAGGAATGGTCCCTTTGGCCACAGCTCAGAGCACGGGCACCAGACCCCTCCGTAGCACGCACTCTGAGTGCAAAGCACATGGTAGACAGTTAGCATTGCCCATAATCCACAGCCCAGTTCCCCCAGAAACACCCATTTATTTGGTCCCTCTGCTCCGAAAATAACACGGCGGAAGCATTGCTATTCAGATACACTGAAAAGAAGCAGCGTGGAACTGGTCGTTCTTTCCACTCTGGAAATAGAAGAACAGGACTCATAAATTGGGCGGAACAAGGCCAGATGACAACATGGTCTTCTCTTTTTTGTATTCAGGCAAGTCAACATGGCCGAGACCTTGAAGTCCCCGTGGCCTCTACCTAGGGCAATGTGCCCACGATCCCTGTGAATTCTGACTTAGAGCGTGGGCCTCAGCCCTTAGCTGTGGTTGGGGAAAGGGAATCAAATTGAAAGACAAAATGAGTGAATACTTTGAAATCATCCCTTCTAATTCCAGGTCATGATTCATAGAAGATTAATCAGTATGCTGAGTGCTATTCATAACATGGACAAAGAGAACATACGCAGAAAACTGAGCCAAGGAAGACAGTCAGTAATAACAGGTAGAACACAGCTGCCAAGTGCAGCGAAGCTTCGACCCTAGGGCTTCTGAGCATGACATCCTGTATAAGGTGTTAGCTATGCAGAGGTAAAATATTTTTGTAAATCACATCCATTAGGTTTTTGTTTTTGTTTTTTTAATGGCCACAGTAATGAATCACCACAAACCTAAATGGCTTTAAACAACACAGATGTATTATCTCACATTGCTGAAGGTCAGAAATCTGAAAACCAAGGTGTTAGCCGGGCTGGCTTCTTCTGGAATTTCCAGTGAAGAGTCTGTTCCAGGCCTTTCCACATCACTCTGCACCCTGCTTCAGTTGTCACATCACCTCTCCTGACTTTGGCCCTCCTGCCTCCTCCTCATATCGGTCCTTTGACAACACTGGGCCACCTGGACTACCCAGGACACTCTCCCCATCTTCAGATCCTTAACTTAATCATACTGGCAAAGTCCCTTTCGGCATGGAAGGTGACAGAGTCATAGCTGCAAGGGACGGAATGTGGACATTTTGGGGGGAGGGCGACCATCAGGCCTACCCAGGACATAAATCAGACCTCCAGGCCAGGTTTGGCTGAAATGCCTACCCAAGTGAGAGTTAGCCAGACTGGCCGACCCAGCCAAGTTGTGACATCTGTGGAGTCTGGCCATGGTTTGACCTCTTGTTTTGTGCCCTCAGTTCTCTCCTGTTACCAGAGAGACCAGGATGGTCAACATTCATACTTGTTAACTGACTGGCTACATCTAGTGTTGTCACAACCTAGCATTTGCACATAAAGCTTTTTTTTTTTTTTTTTCCAAATAGACTCCATGCCCAGCATGGAGCCCAACAAAGTGTTTGAACTCACAACCCTGAGATCAAGAGTTGGCTGCTCAGCTGACTGAGCCACCCAGCTGCCTCGCACATAAAGCTTTTGACCTCATACAATCTTTGCTAACTTGAAGGAATTCCAGTCCTCGGATGCCTGGGTTGACCAGGCTATTGGAAGCACACTCTCAGTGGCTTTTGGGCTCCCATCATCATCTTCTCTTCCCCAAGGCTCATCTGCAGATACATGGGCAGGCCCCAATCCTTCCAAACCCTGCCTGCCCTCCCTAGTGGGAGCCCCCAAACCTGACTCTTCAGTCTTCCTCTCCCTCAAGACCTAGATGGATTTTTTTTTTCCAAAACATTTTATTGCATTTTAATCCCTTTCCCCTGCCCTTTTTTTTGGCCTGACCCAGGGCTGTTTATTGAATCTATCATCAGAGGCAAGGACTCACTATTCATCACAAAAAGGGGAGGGCGGGATTCACCACAGGAGGGTCTTCCAAAGGGGTGGTTTGGGGGACAGCAGGTGTGGGACTTGGGTTCCTGCAGAGGACCAGGAGTCTGTCCAGCCCTTGCCAGCAGACACACTTGACAGCCGCTGGGCATGGCATCCAGCAGGACCCTGTCCCTCCTCACCGCAGACAGTGCCCCTAACGATGGCTGGGCCCAAGACCCCCAAGGCCCCAAGGGAAGAAGGAGCTCTGGTGGCCCAGGCTCAGGTCCTGAGCACCCGCTCCTCGTCTTCCTCCCCCTCAAGATCCAGATGCGTATTTTGTTTCTCGTAACCTTTTTTTTCGCTCTTTAATTATACTTCCAAAAAATTTCTCCTATGTTATTATTACATCCAGTATTGATGTTTCTAATGAAGAAACACTTGTTTAAAATATTGTAAAATTCATCTGTGAATTATGTATGGACCCCTGTAAAATGTCTTCATGTGTTTTTTAATGCAATCTTTTTCTTGACTGATAAGGACAAAGAAGATTCATTAGAGAGCCTTTCACGGGGAGTTGTAGTTTTTTTGAAAGTAAAAAATAAAGCTTTAAAAAGGAGATGGGGTGGGGTAAAGAACAAAAGAAAATTAGAACTGGGCCCGGATGCCCATAGACATATATATTCTTTCCAAGCTGGCATCTGACAAGTGCCCACCGATTGGTGTATGGCAGATAGGAAACTGAAGACGGTGGTTTCACATAAAAATACTGTAAGAACTCCCCGCAAATGCTCTTCTGTTCCCCCAGACAAGAATGCCTCCAGATTCCTCCTGGATAAGATCAGTCAAGATAATTATTCCAGCCGTTTCTCTGTATCCCCCAAGGAAGTGCTGCCCTTCGCCTTTCCGTCCTACAGTCCTCCTCAGAGCTCCAGCGAGTTGGTGGGTGCCGTTAGGCTGTGGGCTGGGGGCCGGGCACGATCAGAGGGTTGTTAGATGGCGGCAAGACCTACCTCAGGCTCTGTCCCTTTGCTTCCTCCTGAGAGGCTCCCTGAGACACCTGTGCCCAAGGACTTGCAATCACTGGGAAACCTGAGATCATCTAGATTTACCTGTGCTGAGCTCTGTGGTAACCTGGGCTGGGTGCCTTCCAGCCTGGAACCCATCAAAAGTCCCTCCTGACAGCCCAAGAACTGGGCCTGAGAGCAAAGGGGCAGATGGAGAATCCGGGAGGGCCCGGCCTAGGGAGGTGGGCTCTGCTCAGCTGGACCCTTCTGCTTTTTGGGCAGATGGAAAGTATCTGAAATGCACTTGTATCAGTGCATTTACTCTTCAGCAAATTTATGCAATAGGTTTATCATCTTACTGACGGGGAAGAAACTGAGACACAAGGCCACATGGCTGGTAATAAAATGTTTTCTAAGCTCATGTAGTTAGCAATAAACAGCATGTTTAGAATTGATGTTGAAAGCACACACACGGGGCGCCTGGGTGGCTCAGTCAGTTAAGCGACTGCCTCTGGCTCAGGTCCTGATCCTGGAATCCCAGGGTCAAGTACCGCATCTGGCTCCCGGCTCGGCAGGGAGTCTGCTTCTCCGTCTGACCCTCACATCTCATGCTCTCCCTCTCAAAAAAAAAAAAAAAAAAAGCACACAGGCAAATTAATTTTTTAGTTTTTTTTTTTTAAAGATTTTATTTATTTATTTGTCAGAGAGAGAGAGGGAGAGAGAGCAAGCACAGGCAGAGGGAGAAGCAGGCTCCCTGATGAGCAAGGAGCCCGATGTGGGACTCGATCCCAGGACGCTGGGATCATGACCTGAGCCGAAGGCAGCTGCTTAACCAACTGAGCCACCCAGGCGTCCCAATTTTTTAGTTTCAAAGAATAAACTTGCCGTGCACATCCTACATTGTATGTTACATATCACAAGTTAATCTACTCGAGAACTGCAGGACCAACTTTAGAAATTCCATGGGTTTTCTGCATTAGATCATCAAATGACCTAAGACATCAGACTGTGTAGTTCCTAGGAAATGATAAATCTGTGATTCTCAAGCATGGATAAACACAATAATTAGTGGGGCGGAGGGGCGCCTGGGTGGCTTAGTCGGTTAAATGTCCCGACTCTTGCTTTTGGTTCTGATCATGATCTCAGGGTCATGAGATTGAATACCACGTGGGGCTCTGTGCTCAGCAGTGAGTCTGCTTCTTTCCCTCTCCCTCTCCCTCTGCTACTCCCCTCCACCATCACCACTCACTCTCTCTCTAAAACAAATACATCTTCAAAAAAAAGATTCTCTGCCTCTGCCTCTGCCCCTCTCTTTCCCCACTCACAAGCACACTTTCTCTCTCTAAATAATAATAACTAACGGGGCGGAAAGGATGATAGTGATGAGTAGATCACTGTGTTGTGTAGCCTGTCTCATTATTTTTGAGTAGTTCCCATCTTACACATTCATTTGTTGCCTTAGTTAGTTCTACAAAGACTTCTGCGGCTTGTGGTTGATGAAAGATGGAACACTCGGCACTCCTGTCTATAAAGAATTTTGTAATTCATTCTATACTTTATTTCATCAATTCTTTTTATATTTAGCAGCTTTGAAATCAATAAATGTCATATAAGCAATGTGTATTAGCAATGCATCATATTAATTTAATGATGATAGATTAGGCAAAATACAGTATTTATTGAGGGGTCCGTAGTATGTCAGGCGTTGTTCCAGGTTCTCTGGGGGACCGAGGCAGACATCATGCGGGAAAGTAGTGCTTTGGAGATGAGCCCCCATGGAAGGGACTTGGGTTGGACAGGGAGAAGGAGAGCAGCCGTCCTGGACTAAGGCCTCAGCTGGACTCATGAGGAGCCCCGAAGCTGGGATGGGGGGAGAGAACCCGGCATTTCTACCTTTGTTTCAACTTGTGGTTGGTGGCAGGCTGCCCTAGGAGGGGCACACGACCTTGAGGGAGGCAGCTCCCTTCAGCCAAGGCAGCTCCTGAAGAGGGCTGACCCTTAAGAGTTGTTTCTGTCAAAGGACTCCAGAATCCTTTGAAGCCCGCAGAGGATTCTGGGTGGCACGTGGCAGCAACCACAACAGTAGAAAATAAAAAAGGATCCCATACACTACGAGATAAGGAGGAGAGGTTGGTCAGCACAGTCTCCCTGCCCCACACATCGGGTGGAACTGAGGTCATGGAAAGTTTGCCAAATGTTTCTCAGCAGAAGCACAGCGACTTTTGCTCGGTGTTGATCATGTGTCAATGTTTTTGAATTCCCACATTTTAGGCTCCTGATGGCCTTGGACCAGTTCCAATTAAATCTCAAGAAACTCAAATCAAGCAGAGTTTTTCCTTCTTCAGTCTGCAGGTCAGACCCGCCATACGGTATCAGTTAATTGGTTTCTTGTGACATGAACAAAATATTCTTGAACTTGAATTGTACCATTTTATTAGTTTTGTTCTGTTGTAGATTATACACCATAGCATTCTGTGTGTATTCTTCTGCTGTTATTTTATGGTATGTGCAAGGTATAACATATGTGGTTTCTGGAAACCAGGATCTTTACTCTGTGGATATACAATATATTATGCATTCGCGAAACTATCCAAACAACATGTGTTAGAAACTTCAGGGAACACAAGATGAAGTGAACAAAAGTTAGTTGGCCTTCCTTGACGTATAGCTACTCCCGGTTTTGAAAATGTAAATATTTCAAGTGCACCAACCAGTATTCAGTGTATTTCCACAGGTAAGCCCTGTGGTAGAGGAGAGTTACTGCAAATGCCCAGCATTTATTTGGGGACCCAGAGCAGGGCCCCGGGGTGGGACTGGGACTTCTCCCTTCAGGAAACTCCAACGTATGCTTATTGGGAATTAGATCCCTTTAATCAGTGACGGTGTTTAAGAACATTCTATCAGTTGTCTTCTTCGACCTCAGGTTCCTCAGCTGTACAAAATTAAAGGCTATCAGCCTTTCTGTGTCCAGAAGTCATCAACAAGCTACAAACCTCAAAAGCTTGCCCGAGCTCTGAAGCAAGGGGCCGAGGTAACACATCTCCGCCTTTAAGAATTGCTCTCACGGGGCACCTGGGTGGCTCAGTGGGTTAAAGCCTCTGCCTTCAGCTCAGGTCATGATCCCGGGGTCCTGGGATCAAGCCCCACATCGGGCTCTCTTCTCGGCAGGGAGCCTGCTTCCTCCTCTCTCTCTCTCTGCCTGCCTCTCTGCCTCCTTGTGATCTCTATCAAATAAATAAACATTTAAAAAAAAAAAAAAGGGATGCCTGGGTGGCTCAGTTGGTTAAGCAGCTGCCTTCGGCTCAGGTCATGATCCCAGCGTCCTGGGATCGAGTCCCACATTGGGCTCCTTACTCATCAGGGAGCCTGCTTCTCCCTCTGCCTCTGCCTGCCATTCTGTCTGCCTGTGCTCGCTCTCTCTCCTTCTCTCTCTCTGACAAATAAATAAATAAAATCTTTAAAAAAAAAAAAAAAAGAATTGCTCTCACACTTCCCTTCTTGTCCTGGCATCAAGACCAACACACCGGGGCTCCTGGGTGGCTCAGTGGGTTAAGCCTCTGCCATCAGCTCAGGTCCTGGTCTCAGAGTCTTGGGATGGAGCCCCACATTGGGCTCTCTGCTCAGCAGGGAGCCTGCTTCCCCCTCTCTCTCTGCCTGCCTCTCTGCCTCCTTGTGATCTCTCTGCCAAATAAATAAATAAAATCTTAAAAAAAAAAAAAAAAAGGAAGGCTAACACACCACTTGGTCCCTTCACAGGATGAAGCCACAATCATTACCCTACCCAAGCAGGATGCCGCACCTCAGCTCCCCGGCAAAACCTCAGTCTTGGGCATGAAACCACCGGAGGCCTTAGCCGTGTCTCCAAATTATGACCCACTTTATATTTTTGTAAGTGACAACTGGCAGAATTCTCTCGTGTTCTATGTGCGTCTATCTCAAGACTTACTTTATGAGAAAACAGAAGCATTAGTTAGGAATATTTTTCTGTCTTTGGAGTTACAAGTGTGAAATGGTATCTCACCTTTGGAGTTGCTTGCCAGCATTTATCATGTGGAGAATATCAGTGTTTCTGTCCTTTTAACAATTCCAGCATTTATTTATGTTTATGGCAATAGTTTTATGGTCCTTTCTAATTTCATATAATTATACATATGATATGTGTGTGTGTATATCTGAAGCTATCTGAACTACATACATTAGAAACTTTAATATATAAAATCATAATTTTATATTATATATTTTTATATTTATGTTTATATAATATATTGTATAATATAATTATAAATTATAATTATATATTATTATTACAAATTATTATATATGTGTGTATATATATATATATATATATATATATAGTGTTAAAAAAAGAAGAAACAAACAAACAAAAACAAAACACAACAGAAAGAGAAAGTAAAATCAGCCTAAACCTTATCAGTCAGAGCTTAATCGATTCCTTATTCCATCCTTGGGCAGCGCTCCCCTTCCATACTTGCGCCTCTGATTCCCCGATTTGTCGGTTCCACTTTGTTTCTGTGGCCACACTTAATTAACTTCCCTGTAGCATATCCTAACCATACCACTGTCCTGCTCCGCATTCTTCACTGACTCCCATTTTCTTCCAAATTAAGTCCAAGCATATGGGAGGCCAACAACATAACCACCCCCCTTGTCTGCACCCCTGCGTAAGTCTCTGCTGAACTTGGTGTGCTTCCCTCCTTCCCCAGGCCCTCACTTCTGCCTGTCTGCCCCCATGGGGTCCCCACTCCCACCCTTATAGTTCCTGCTACCCAAGTCCTAAATTAATGGAACCCAGACAGGGCATCTGATGAGGTTCTTTGTAACAGTGGGCTAATCAGTGAAATGCCACAGTAGTTGCCCAGGTTCTGGTCTGCATTTTTGAAGACAGACACACACACATACACACAATTAAGAACCTTAGATACTGGTTAAGAAAGTCTCCTTTTGAGAATCTCCAAATGAGAATCTGTATCTGTAACGTGGGCAGAGATGCTGATAGTCACACCCAGGGTCTCTTGGCCAGTCAGTGGGAGAGCTCTGAGCTAGTAGACAGAAAGCTGCCTATTTGCTGGTTGACTGGCTCAGGGGCTCTTCCTCTGAATTGTGCTGCTTTCCTCCTGAGATCTGTGATGTTGGCTTTGGTCATTATGGGGCATTTTTTCATAGATTCTCCTTGGCTAAGGGAGTGGTCCTCAGAGACTCAGAGTCTTGGAGCTGGGATAACCTCACAGGACGTTTAACTTAAGGCTTTTCGAACTTCATTTAGTGCCAGAGCCCTCGAATCAGCTGAAACTTGACATAGAAAGTCAATATGTAATATACCTAGAGTCTTGCTTACTGGCTGGGAATAGCAGTGAGTAGGGGGTTCTCCTGAGGAGGGTGTCCCTGCAAAACTGTGGGGTTCCCCATAGCAAGGTTTGAAAAACACTCTTCAACCTCTTGTGAATCCCCCAGATTCACCATTACCATCCCCTCCCCATTCTAAAAGTGAGGAAACAGGTCTAGAGGAGTTACAGGAATTTTCCAGTCACACTCATACTTCCTTGGAAAATATCAGTAGTTATTTATTAATTCATTAATTCCACAAACACTGAGAGCATGGCTAAGGTTTAAAAACCTAAGGTTAGGGGCAGTTCATCAAAGGGACACAACAATTCCACCTAATAATCCACCTAATTTATCCACTAATAGTTTTAAAATACATGAAACAAAAATTAATTGAACTTCAAAGGAAAAAAAAATCCACAATGATAGTTGATTTCAATACCTCCCCCTCAATAATTGATAGAAAAAGTAAATAGAAAAGAGTAAGGATATAAAAGTTTTAAATACCATCATCAATTGACTTGACCTAATTGGCATTGCTAGAACACTCTACCCAAAACCAACAGAATGCAGATTCTTTTCTTTTTTTTTAAAGATTTTATTTACTTATTTGCAAGAAAGAGCGCATAAGCAGGGGGAGCAGCAGAGGGAAATGGAGATGTAGACTCCCCTACTTGCTGAGCAGGGGAGCCCTAGACGGGGCTCGATCCCAGGATCCTGAGATCATGACCTGAGCCCAAGACAGATACCCAAACCCCTGAGCCACCCAGGTGCTCCCAGAATGCAAATTCTCTTTAAGTATACACAGGTTTGCCACGATAGACCATATTCGGCACCATAAAACAAGGCTCAATAAAATTGAAAATATTCAGATCATATGAAGTATTTTTTCTGGCTTTGAAGAAATTTAATCAGAAATGAATAGCATAAAGATATCTAGAAACCCCCCCAAATTTGGAAGCTGAATTAAATACTTCAAAACAGCCAAAGAAGAAAGTCAAAGTCTAGTCCAAAGAAGAAATCAAAAGAAAAATTGGAAGGTATTTTTTCTTAATGGAAATGAAAGCACAAAAAATTTAATGGGAAATTTATAATGCTATATACCTATATTTGAAAGTAAGGATGGGACTTAATGTCCTCGGCTATCCCTTTAAACTCAGAAAAGAAGAGTAGATGAAACCCAAACTAAGCAGGGAAGAGAAACAATAAAGATTAGATTGAAACCAATGAAAAAGAAAAGAAAAACAATAAAGAAAAACTGTTTCTTTGAGAAAAATCAGTAAAATGAATAAACCTGATATAACTGGTTGGGGGATAAAAGGTAAAAGACAGGGGCACCTGGGTGGCTCAGTGGCTTAGGGAATCAAGCCCCACATCAGGCTCTCTGCTCAGTGGGGAACCTGCTTCCTCCAATCTCTCTTTCTGCCTGCCTCCCTGCCTACTTGTGATCTCTGTCTGTCAAATAAATAAATAAAAATCTTAAAAAAAAAATGGTAAAAGACATGAATTACAAATACCAGGAAAGAGTTATCATCACTGCAGATTCTACAAATATCAAAAAGATAATAAGTTAATATTCAAGTACGTTCAACAAGTTAAATGGACAAATTCCTTAAAAGGCACAAACTTTTAAATCTTATTTTAGAAGAGGTAGATGACTCTACTATCTCTATATCTGTTTTAAAATTGAATTTGTGGTTTAAAAAGTACCTAGATGTCCATCAACAGATGAATGGATAAAGAAGATGTGGTATATATACACAATGGAATACTATGCAGCCATCAAAAGAAATGAAATCTTGCCATTTGCGACAACGTGGATGGAACTAGAGGGTATCATGCTTAGCGAAATAAGTCAGTCAGAGAAAGACAACTATCATATGATCTCCCTGATATGAGGAAGTGGAGATGCAACATGGGGGGTTAAGGGGGTAGGAGAAGAATAAATGAAACAAGATGGGATTGGGAGGGAGACAAACCATAAGTGACTCTTAATCTCACAAAACAAACTGAGGGTTGCTGGGGGAAGGGGGGGTTGGGAGAAGGGGGGTAGGGTTATGGACATTGGGGAGGGTATGTGCTATGGTGAGTGCTGTGAAGTGTGTAAACCTGGCGATTCACAGACCTGTACCCCTGGGGATAAAAATGTATTATATGTTTATAAAAAATAAAATAAAATAAAACAAAAAAACAAAAAAAAACTTCCCACAAAAAAACTCCAGGTGCAGATGCCTTCACTGGGGAATTCTGCAATCTATTTAAGGAAGAAATAACACCAAATCTACAAAAACTCTTCCAGAAGATGGAAGAGATTACGTACCAACTCATTCTAGAAGTCAGAATTATCAGAAGTCACTCTGATGCCAAAGCCAGACAGAGACATTACAGGAAAAGAAAAGGATAGACCAAGTATCCTTCATGATTTGTGAGCATAGAGATAGCTAGCTAGCTAGCTAGCTAGCTAAGATAGATAAGATAGATAGATAGATAGATAGATAGATGATAGATAGATAGATATTAACAAATCCTATTCATCATATTCATCATACAAAAAGAATAATGTATCAGGAACAAATAGGAACCTATGCCAGGAGCATGAGATTAGTTTAACACTCAAAATTCAGTGTACCTCACCACATTAACAGACTCAAAAAGAAAAACCATATCATCTCAACAGATAATAGAAGTAATCTGTCATTCCTGATAAATGCTGTCAGCAGTTGAGGTACAGAAGGGAATTTTCTCTACCTGATAAAGAGCATCTATTAAAAACCTGGAACTGTCCTCACTTCAGCAGCACATATACTTAAAGTGGAATGATACAGAGATAATTAGCATGGCCCCTGCACAAGGGTGACACACAAATTCTTGAAGCATTCCATATTTTTAGTTTGCAATAAATTTATGTACAATAAATGTATTTAACCAACCAAACAAACCTGAAGCTGACATCATACTGAATGGTAATAGACTGAATGCTTTCCCCCTAAAATCAGGAATAAGGCAAGGATGTCTGTTCTTACTAATTCTATTAAGATTGTAACTATAGTCAGTGTAACAAGGTAAGAAAAAAATATATAAGCCATCCGGATTTGAGAGGAAGAAGAAAAACTATCTTTATTCGCAAACAAAATTATTGTATCTATAGAAAAGGAGGAATTTGGAAATCCTAAGAAAAGAAAGAAAAACAAAGGGAGAGAAATACCAGTCAGAACTGGAAAAGCATTATAACGAAGTCTTGGAATGATATTCGTGCATTCAGCCTGGAGGAGGAAAGGTAAAGAGCTCTGGGAAAGAGATTTGGTGGGAAGGGTAGACTCCACACACTAATAGTGCAGTTGAGAGGATGGAAATATTCAAGGATTTTATAAAGGTTCATCATCCAAGCAAAAGAAAAGGCCATTATAAACTCTAGGGGGAGAAAATCAACTAAAAATCGGTATGTGTTCCAAATAGGAAACCAATCTAAACCAAACTAAAATTTGGTATGATTTTTAAGAGTTAATCATAGGGGAGCCTGGGTGGCTCAGTTGGTTAAGCCTCCAACTCTTGATTTCAGCTCAGGTCATGATCTCAGGGTTGTGAGATTGAGCCCCACGCTGGCCCAGCATGGAGCCTGCCTAAGATTCTCTCTCTCCCTCTCCCTCTGTTCCACCACCCCTCTAAATAAACAAACAGACAAACAAAAAAGGGTTAATGGCAAATAAAAGAAAAAAATAGAATCCATTTAGCCTTGCTACTAAAACACTTCTCCATGAGTGACCCGATATTGAACCTTCACAAAAAACTAATCTGAGCTGCTGCTTGGCCTGGTAAAGAAGCATATTTACACAGTTAAGACAAAATAAAACCCGTTGACCAGTTTCCAACTCTCAAAGACAACTTATGAACAAAGCATGAGGTCTTGGTTGTGGTTCCAGAATGCAAATGCTAACAATCTCCGTAACACAAAAGCAAAATTGTGGAAGAGGGGGGAAAGGTATAAGAAAGCCTGGGAATGGTCATGTTTTCATTTCATATGATGGGGAGGAGTTGAAACACTCAACTAAAGATGATGAAGCAAGAAATAGGGGTAGTAGTGCATTATTTCAAGTCACAAAGATAACTCACACCAGAACTAAAAATGGTGTGATTTTCAAAATTGGAAGGAGGAAGTTTGGAAGGAGCATTTGTGTACATGAACTAAATCCTTACCTTGCATAGGAATGAGTCAATGGATACCATCTGTCTGAGGTTGAAAATAGAGAAATGGAAGAATAAGCATCATGTTTAGAGTAGTGACCATCAGAGACACTAAACTCAGAAATAATGGAAAGAAACGGCCTCTGGGATATGCGCCTGGGGATAAGAAGGAGGAGCCCCATTGCTTTTCACCTTTCCAGATCCTTCCAGCCTGAGTGAGTCACTACCACATGCGTGCATTAGTTTGAGAAAAATTAAAAACCTTATGGGATGACCACTCAGACCACTTACTCTGGCAGCCATGGCCACCCAGGGGAATCCGAGGTATAACAGCTACTAAAAACAGTAATACTGTCATTTCCAAAAATATTTCATCGATACACTTGGCCCAAGACAGAGCGAGAGATCTGGTCACACAGCACCCTTGTACACCCTCCGCATAGGAGACACTCCTTCAAGCCACACAGCTCACTCCCCCTCCCTGGTGTTGTGCCTCTTACCCCCATCACCACCTGACTAGGGTGCAGCCAGCCCCCATCACACTGTGTCCTGGTCTCACAGTGACTCAGGCCAGCTGGAGTCTCAGGAGCTCCTGCCCCAGTTCCCTTCCTAGGCACGCTCCTGATTGGCCTTTCATATCCTGGGGTAAGGGGGGGGGGTGTGACTCCTGGCAGTGGGAGTCAGCAATTATCAGATACATTACATTCCAGTCACTCCCCTTACCCAGGAAGTGGAGCTGTGCTCCTTTTTCCCTTCTTCAGTCCTGCCAGTCTCCCCCACTTCCTGGCTGGGGGAGGCCAAAGGTCTCCTTGCTCTACTTCTGGACGTCTCTCTGCTATAATTATGTAGAGGACCTGGTCTTCCCAGGGAGGGTGGGGAGGGCTTACTCTGTCTTCTGCCCTTGGGTTCTCCTTCTGTAATACACTGGAATGGGAAATGTCCCCCCCCCCCCCCCCCCCCCCCGCCACACCCTCCCTGCCCTCCTTCCTCCTCACCCACCTTCCTGTATGTTCTCAGACCTCCCCTGCTTGGTTCCCCTAGGGCCCCCACCTCTCGCCTGGCTCCCTTCCCACCCTCCAGCCCCGATCTGGGCAAAGGGTCTTCCCTTGAGCTCCAAGGGGTAGAATGCAATGTTTACATTCTCCTCTGTCTCAGTCCCCACCACACACAGTGCTTTGAGGAACCCCAAAAGAATCTGCTGCCATCAAACATATGTGTGTGTGTGTGTGTGTGTGTGTGTGTGTGTGTGTGTGTGTGTGGACTGTAACTCTTCTACCAAGTGCAAGTCCTCCCTGAGGGCTTTGCTCATTTCTCCATTGTTATAGTGCCCCTGCCAAGTCTAGCTGCATTTTCTTCATTGTGGGAGACATTTTTCTCTTGGCAGTGAGATGGGGTTTCTATAAACCATGTGGAGTTTTGTTGTTGTTGTTTTTTTAAAAAGCCTTTAAAAATCATACAAATGAACAAAAAGAACAAAATGCCAACTTAGTGGGTCTGTGTGGGACAAGAGTGGCGTTTGCTGGACTAACCCCAGAAGGGACATTAAAAGACTCTCTATTTTCATATTTTGATGTAGTCGCTCTGGGTCTCCATCAGTTCTGTTGGGAAATTAGGATAAAACAGGCTCTCCCATAAAACCAGATACTGCATCCAAATGGAGCCTTCCTGAATTAAAAACATTACCCAAACAACATTAAATGTTGACATTTCCTGATCATCAAATGTCACCCTCTTCTTCGTCTTGTCTGTAGTTTTTAAGAAGCTATTTTTGTTTTCCAAAACCAGAAGCTTCTTTGCTTTTTAAAACTAGTTTGCTTAGTTAATAAAGTCCCCTAATTCATCAAGTGTAGAAATAAATACAGAACTTTAAGTGGTTTTAAGCCCTCGCTTCAGCAGTATTTGTTCCCATGAGAACTTCGTAAATCCACGTGGCATGTGCTGAGACTCTTAAAGCAGGAGAGTGACATTTAAGAACGACCGTGACTGCTGTCCAGTTTGAAAAACGCTCTCTTCATCTGCAGCTCTTTTCCAGACAAGCTGACAGGGACCCAGAGTGTTAGTGCTAGCGGGAGCCACAGATGACATTTGCTGTCGCCTGCCTGGCTTGGCTGGGCTTAGAAACCTGTAAACAAAAGAGAATTTTTTTTTTTTCTCTCTCTCTCTCCTACAGAATCCCAACCCAGGACTATTTGCTGTGAAGCACCCTCTGACCTATGCAGAAACCTTGATAGATTACCATCTGTGCCCTCACCCCAAGTACAAGTTCGTCAGGGAGTCCCACAGGGGCTCCAGCATTCCTCTCACCCAAAAGCAATTTCTCCATCACACGGTAATGACAGAGCTGACCCTGGGCTGTGGGGAGAGGCGGGCGGACAAGCATGGGTGGGCACAGCTGGAGTTGGGGGGAAAGTCTGCAGCCACAGTCACAGAACAAGAATGGTACCCTTTCATCCCACCAGCCTCGGCTCTGCTCTCGTCCTGTCCGTATCCCCTGTACAGGCAGCACGTGGCCCTTCTTTCAACCTTCTTCTTCTCTTTTGTCCTTGAAAGCTGTGCCTGATACTCATTTTAGTCCTGTTCCCACCATGTTAAAAAAAATGGTCACGTGCCAGGGGAAACCCCACGGTCTCATCTCCTCTTTCTTCAGCTCCAACAAGCGTAACATCAGAATGGACAAGCTGGTGATGGGACCAATGCACGGTCGGGGAGAGGTTCCAGAGAATTCCTTCTCCCTTTAGATGACTGGCCTGACCTGAACGGCCAGAGACCTCTCTTAGGGGTGGCCCTCAGGCCCTGCAAACTCACCAAGTCCCTAACAGGTCATTCTCTCTGCCCTGCTTCTGCTGACCACACCTCATTCCGCCTCCTCTTCCTCAGCTACCCACTCGCCTTTCTGAACTACATGTTCTTGTGCTGGGACCCACATCCCTGGGATCCCTCCCTCTCTTTCATTCCCCATTTCCACCCATCACCGGATCCCCCAGTCTGCCCTCCACAGCAGGCGAATCTCCTGCTTCACCCCACTGTGCAGTGCCCCCCGACGCCGAAGCCCTCCCTTGACACAAAGCAGGGCTCGTCATTTTCCAGTTTAAAAACCCTCAGTAGGTCCCGCAGCCCGGTGGAGCTGGCTCCAAACTCATCAGCTTGGCCCACAGGCCCTTTGTGCCCTGCCTGTCTTTCCAGACTCACTTCCCACCAGTTCCTGTCTGGCGGTGCCCCCCACCCCCTGCCCAGCTGGTGGTCCCCTGACAGCGCCCTCCCTTGCATGTCTGTGCATTTGCAGGCACTGGGCCCTGCCAGGAATGCCATCTGATGAGCAAACATCGCTTTGAATATCACTCTAGCACCGCGTTCACAAAACAGATTGTAAGGCCCGATATGTTTTCCATCACCAGGCCCCATTTCTTTGTGTGCCTGATGAATCAGGGGGAGGAAAATCTCTCCTTCGTCCCTACTTTAGTTCCCATTGCTTAATGTCTTCTGCTAGGGAAGTCGTCTTTAAGCCTCAGAAGAACAGTTGAACTTAAGGAAGGTATACATTTTGGAGTTCAGCTTTGAAGACTGCCAAAAAGCCCATTGAATGAAACAAAAGTCCTTCCTAGACTTGACCGCACCAAACAGTTCCCTTACATGTGGGACCCTATGCCCGGCTTTTCCTACAGGACATTATTCCTGGGATAATGCATTGGAAGAAGTTCCAGCCCCTGGCCCTCTCCTCCCTGCCTGAAACCTCAAAGACAGAGACAGCCCAGAGGTAAGCCACAGCTCATCTGTTCGTCTCCTGGAGGTCTCTTGGCACCACAGATTACAGAGGCTGTGATCCTCAAAGTTAACTGCCAATATGGTCTCAAATTCTACTTTTAGGGTTTTAGGGAAGTTCGCTAGGTGGAGAAACACAATAATGCATCCCAGACTCACACATTCTGAATTCTCTTCATTGAGATCTACTTCTTAAAAGAATGAATGTCACAAGCGGCTGATCATCCCTGTTTCAGTAAACGTGGACCACCAATCCATATAATTCAACTGAAATAGTCATGGTCAATTTTTAATGTTCTTGAATTGCCAAAATTAGTCTTCTGCACCCTCCATATACAACTTCAGGGGAGCTCCTTCTCTCTCCGCCTCAGCCTACCGTTCCTGGGAGGCCCCAGCTACCATCATACACAGACGGAGCTCAGGGGCAGAAAGAGAACAGACCAATGAGCATATTGGTGGAGCAAAGAAAGAAGGAATCTAGAGTAAACACATTTTTGCTAGTTTGCTCATTTAGCTCCTCTTCAGAGCCCTCAGATCTCAAACAAGGAGTCTGAGGCCTTTTCTTTAGGACTCTGGCCAGTCAGTAACCCACTCCCAAGCCTCTGAATTTGCTTCTTTGGTCTGTTGTCCTTACCAACATAGTTAAACAGGTTATTGGTGTGTGGAGGTGACTCGTATCCAAAACAGTGGCCATCGGCAGTCACCTTTCCTTCAGGTCCTTTGATCCAAAATGAGGCGCACCCCAAGGAAACGTGAGCTCTGCCCCTATGGGATCAGCAGGAACCCCCACTCCCACCAGCATCTCCTGGATCCTCTGAGGCAGGAACTCAAGCCCCTCTCTCCCCAGAGTGCCCAGCCCTGCGGGAGCTATGGGACATCAGCCCCACTCCTCAGCCTCTTCTCCCAGTCCTCTTGGCCATTAAAACAAGGGGATGGACATTTTTATTTTAGTAGGAATGAAAGAGCTCACTGGGTGTCCCGTGTGTGACCCTATATACACTACCCATCTATCCCTTACCCCCACCCCCGGGGAATTCGAGGGGCATCGCTGAAAGCACGTTTGTGACTTGAGAACACTGAATTTTACTTCTTCCCTCATTGTCAGAGAAAAGCTCCTCCTGAATTAAGCAACATTCAGCCTTCCTTCCCTATGCCCTGCCAGGGGCCAGTCGCTTTTGGGTTATTTCCTTACTGCTTCTCAGCTACTGTCCTCTGCCTGGAGATTTAACAAGAGACAAGCAAAAAGCGCCCCTCCTGGGGTGTTTGGGACCTGGCAGGAGCTCAGAAAACAGGAGTTCCCTTTCTGTGGGTTCCATCCCTGCTTCATCCCTCCTGGAACCACCTAGAAGAAGCTCGGCATCTTTGTTCTTCACTTGAGCACAGTCCTAAAATCCGAAAGCTCTAGAATCAGGGAAGATAGTGGCACGGTAGAAAGAATGAACACGTTGGAGGGCCTGGGAGACTGCCTCTGTTCCTCATGAGCAGCATCCCCCGCTCTGGGTCCTTGGGCGAGTCACTTATCACTGAAGCCCTTTGAACAGCACCTTTCTGGTCTGCGAAGCTGGGACAGCCACGGCTGCCCCCACCCCCACCCCCACCCCCACCCCCACCCCCGCCACTAAGCATTGCGGTGGTTCTGCTGCCACCAGATGGCGGTAGTCTGCCACCCGGCCTGCTTAGGCAGTGGGGTGAGGACGCTTCAGCCCCATAAACCAGGCGGAGCTGGCTGTGGGGTAAGGTCAGGAGACTGAAAGAGCAAAATGACAAATGGATAAATGGCCAAAAGTGGCCACCAGCTGTTGGCACGCACAGCTCTCAAGAATTAAGCGGGGGGAAGTCCTCTTTTTTTCCCAAGCTATGTCCTTGGAAAAATCTCCTGAGGCTGTTCTTTTCAAAAAGCAGTCAGCAGCAGTTACCTTGGGCTTCAATTAACCATGAATTAAACATGAATTCTACATGAATTAAAGAAAACGCTCCAACTAGGAGCTGTTACTTTCAACTTCTGTGCCTGAGCGCTCTGTTGGGCCAATTCATTTCAAGATAAACCGTAATTGCATAACAGATGATAAAATCGAGAGGATTCTACATTTCCTTCTCATAGATTTCCAGGATGTAAGCTTCTAGACCCTGTTTTTATTTTTAAAAGCAGTTATGACATAAGAATGGTATTCTTTCTTAAGTTCCTACAAATCCATTAATGATACTTCAACCTTGCAGTCCTCTGGCTTGAATAAATTACCTATTACGTATGAGATGTTTCCTTTGCCCCGAGAATATCTGTTTGCTGTCAAACCACACGGTAGAGTTATTTACTATTTGTTTATTCCAAGTCACTTTTGCATTCATAATAATCAAAACAGCTCACTTGGCTTTTTTGCTCTTTAAAAAATTCAGTGAGAACTTTTTGAGTTTCTCTAGGACTTTCATAAAAATCTTGCAAATCAGCAGCAGCCGAAGACATTATCTAATCCAGTAGCGCCCCGGCTTTCAGATTTTATAGACGAGTGAAATGTCCAGGAGAATTTTTTAAATTTTCCTTTATGTAAATTCAATTAATTAACATACAGTGTTGTCCAGAAGAATTTTGAGAACCATTTTAGGGCCATCAGTTTTGCTTTGCCTAGAAAAGCATTAAAACCAAGGAAAGCAACACGAAGTGTCCGACCACCATCTACCGTCTCCACCGTTTCAATTTCAGAACGTATTAACACACATGCAAAAGTAAGAGGAACGCGGGCTCAGATTTTAAAACTTGGATTAATTTGGTCTCATGAAAAAGACGTGGCTGCGGCCAGGCTCTCTTCCCAGACTAGTCTGCTCTCTGGGGAGTGGTCTGGGCTCTCCACTTCTTAGTACTTCTGCTGGGCAGGAATGCCCCGGACCACCCCACTCTAAAGCGGCAGTGGGCTTTGCAGGTAGGACCCGCATGCTTTGTCAGGTTCCCTTTTGGGAAGAACGGTATGAAAACCAAAAGCTGGATACAAGGTGGACACATTGCTACTGGGTGGCTTGTTTCTTGGCTTCCCCAGCAGACCAGCCAGACACACACACACATAGACACACACACACATAAGCACACATACACACATTTCAGAAATGATGAATTCCCACCGGTGCTTACAATTCTAGCCTGCATCCGTAAAGCTACTGCCTGCTTTCCTCCATTCTGTGTTTGTATGTCCCTTCTTCCACTATGAGATCCCTGGCTCCTAATGCATTTACTCATTAATCAATTTCATAGAAGTCCAAAATAGTTTCACAGTTGTCTCACCTATAGCCAAGTTAATGAACAAGCATGATAAATAGAGGTCAGGTTTATTTGCAGGTTCCCCCAAGTTTATTGTACATCCCACCAAAACTATGACTATATAGTCAAATACAGTATTTATAAGTTTCTTGGATTAATGCTTTTTTTTTCCTTGTTCTTTCTTTCCTTCCTCCCTCCTTCCCTTTCCTCCTTTCCTCTCTCTTTCCTTCTTTCCTTTCTTCCTTTCTTTCTTTCTCCTTTTCTCTTCCTCTTTCTATCTTTCTTTCCTTCCACCATGATTATGGAATTCATGTGAAATATTTGCTTCAGTTTGCTTTCAATTTGGAGGTTTCCCTCCCTTCTGTTATTGATATAATCTTTTTTTAAATAATAGGTAGAACAATAACATGCTTTCTTTTTTTTTAAGATTTTATTTTTTTGAGAGAGAGCAAGCAAGAGACAGCCCGAGGGGGTGGGGTGGGGGCAGAGGGAACAGGGACAAGTGGACTCTCTGCTGAGCAGGGAGCTGGAGGTGGAACTTAATCCCAGGACCCTGGGATCATGACCTGAGCCAAAGGCCAATGCCTAACTGACTCAGCCACCCAGATGCCCCATCAAAGATATATGTGCACAAGCCAAAACTCCTTGTTTTCTGCATCTGCCTCCTGCCTTAGACTCCACTCACAATCTTTCTAGGATCTGGGGGAAGCTCCATTTCCTTCCTATGTGTTCTACTGTCTGTCACTATGTACTCTTCTTCATGAGACAACACTCCCCCCAGCTTCCAAAATTTAGTCCAGAAAACTATTGAAAACTCTTATCCATGTAGGTTTTTTCTCCTCTTCTTCTTTGTCATGTGTTCAATTTTTTATTCCTTTAAAACGTCATAAGTGGGGGCACCTGGGTGGCTCAGTTGGACAAGCATCTGACTCTTGATTTCTGCTCAAGTCATGATGTCAGGGTCATGGGATGGAGCTCTGTGCTGAGCATGGAGACTGCTTAAGATTCCCTCTCTTGCTCTCCCTCTGCCCCTCCCGGCTCATGCTCTCTCTCTCTCTCTCTCTAAAAAATTAAAAACCAATAAATAAAATTTTAAAAAATAGAAGTTTTTAAGTAGTTGAGACCAAAAAAAGCAAAAGTAAGTTCTACCATCTTGAAACAGAAGTTTGCTGCCAATTTCTAAACTAATAATATTTTTTCTATTTTAATTATCTTAATGTGCTCTATTCTCAGGATTTTATAGAAAGCTCTAAATCTATAATACCAAATCATATATCAGGGGGTGGGGAGGAAGGTTTGAAATGGAATGGAACAACTAAAGAAGACTGTAAAGTTGAGGGGAAACTATTAAGAAAAGTGAACGGTCCCAGTATTGCCCTGTGCCCCCAAGAAATATTATTAGACACCACGAGCTTGAAAGTTCTGTTCCTAAACCCCAGAAAATGACTTACTTGGCCACATCCTCTAGGGTTTGACCAGTATCTATCACACCCCCTGCCTTTGTCCACAGGCAAACACTGGGTTTTCAGGAGTGAGGGACGGAAGGGGAATGTCCTGCCCAGTGGGAAAGTACAAGCACTTTAGCACATGGTGTAAAGATCCCAAGACTGCGAATGTGAGCATTTATCCTCCCCTGCCTGTGCGGTTCTTCCACAGCTGTGATTCCTTCAACCTAGTCATGCTTCCGAAAAATGTCCCTGCCATTCTCGATGCCCTACCAGAAGAAGATAGACTGGAAACCGCTGAACGGTACTTTCTCACCTTTGCTTTCTAATGTAGTCTGTTCTACCAAAATGCACCAGGTGCTTCGAGAGATTTCAAAAGAGCACACAATGCCCGGGTCTGCAACCCAAATGAGTTAGGGCTAACACACACAGCCAGAGCCCTAACTAGGGGATGGCAGGCTAAGTTCGTGGTGTGGAGTAGATGGTCTCTGCAGCCTCACATTCACTGATCGGAGGGAGCTCAAGGGAGGGGAGAGCAGAGGCGGTGCTCAGTGGGCTGGGAAGGCTTCATGGTCACGTGCACTTGGGTTAGTCCTTGAAAGAGGGTGGGATATGGAGAGGCATAAAAAACTATAGACCCCAAACCAAGGTGCTCATGTTTCATTTTACTGGTGAGCGTCCAACAGCCTTGAATCTCTTGTTGCTGTGCCGATTTCAGCATTTGTCTATGTAAATCATCAATTAGTGAAATCCTAAATATCTGAGGTTTCTCTCCGGGGCTAAGACTTGTCCACGCGCAGTGACACTTGGCAATACCGGCGTATTTGAAGCTCCAAACCCGGGAAGGTGGGAGCGCCTTCTACTGGAACCACTGCGCAAGGACATCGGTGAGGACACTGGCGAGGATGCTGGAGCCGGGACGGACGGTACACGTCTGTGTGAGGTTCAGAGGAACGTGTCCTGTCTGGCAGGGCTGTGGTGCCCAGCAGGCCGCAGCTTAGCTGACCCCTCCTCCGCTTGGCACTGATGCGGGGACCATCGTGACCGAGTTCCCCCATCTTTGAAATGATAATAGTAGAACCTATTTCCTGCAAGTTGTCAGAGTTGCAGGAGATAATGCTGATGCTGACAATCAGAACATTTACCAAGCACTCCAGCACAGGGCTTTGCCCGCAGTCTCACTTACTCCCACGAGGAGGTCTTGCTGTTATCCCCACCTTAGAGACAGGAAACTACTCACAGGAAATTGATTCCGCAAAGCACCAACATGCGGCTGCTTAGCGATCATTAGTCTTCAGTCACAGGGGACTGGAACAGTGTCTGTGCCTTCCAAGGGTACTTTCCGTAATGGAACCTTGCTATGCCACTTCAGGGTATCATGGCTGAATGGTGTTCCTGCCCTTTTTTTTTTTTTTTTTTTTTTTTTTTTAAGATTTTATTTGTTTGACAGAGAGAGAAAGAGATAGGGAGAGCACAAGCAGGGGGAGCTGCAGAGGGAGAGGGAGAGGCAGGCTTAATCCCAGGACCCTGGGATCACAACCTGAGCCAAAGACAGATGCTCAACCAACCTAGCCACCCAGGCACCCCTGTGCACCTGCTTTTAATTCCAAACTTTGAAGACTTGGTTGATCTTGGAAGCATTTCTCTTAAGTGAGCCATTATCAAAAAATCCATTCTCGGGACGCCTGGGTGGCTCAGTGGGTTAAGCCGCTGCCTTCGGCTCAGGTCATGATCCTAGGGTCCTGGGATCGAGTCCCGTATCGGGCTCCTTGCTCAGCAGGGAGCCTGCCTCTCTCTCTGCCTCTGCCTGCCTCTCTGCCTGCTTGTGTGCTTTCTCTCTCTCTCTAAAAAAACTAAAAAAAAAAAAAAAAAATCCATTCTCTTTTTCTAAAGTAATAGGGTTGTTGAAAGTAGTAGTGACAGTTCCCAGCCTCCCTTGCAATAAAGTCACCCATTTGGCAAGGCCCTGGCCCAGGGAATGCGAGATGGGAGATATTCCACTTCTGATCATGACCATTGAAGGAGTGAGTGTATCTCCTCCATGGTCTCTCTCTCTACTTTCCTCCCGCTAGAACCCACACATGCAGCAACCACGCTTTAACCATCAGGCCAGGGGTCAGCAAACTATGGACCATGGCTGACTCTGGCCTGCCACTTATTTTTGTAAATAAAGTTTTATTGTAACATAACCACACCCATTCATGTATTATTTCTTTTGGTTCCTTTCATGCTACAAAAGCAGAGCTGAGTAGTTACAAAAGAGACTGTATGACCTACAAAGCCCTTTACTGAAAAGCTTGCTGACCCTCATTCCAGCAGATAGCAGACCACAAGACAAAAGTCACCTCGAGCCCTTTAATTTCTTCTTTTACCAATAGTTCATTTGGAAATATATTATTTAAATATATTAAAATTATATTAAAGCAGTTGTAGGTTTTTTGGGTTTTTTTTTAGTGAAGAAAATAGTGATCTTCTTCACTATCACTTCCTATTTAAATTTCATGGTGGCCAGAGAACATACTGTGAATGATTTCAAAAGATTGAAATCATTCAGGCTTTCTTTACAGTCCAAGATATGGTCAGTATTGGTAAATATACCACATGCACTGGTAGAGAATATGAATTCTACAACCCCACTTTAAGAATTGCTTTTTACTCTCTGGTTATGATTCCTACAATTGTTGGTCAAAGCAGTTTATCAGCCTTATGCTTCTTTTAACATAGACTCAACAAAAGTGGGTAGAACTAACACTGAAAGCCAAGAGAACTGCATAATTCTTAAATGATCACAATATTTCTCTACTTTATTTGGGGAAGGAAAACCCTTTCCAACTAAGCATGTTCTTCCTTTTCAGTGAGCTCTGCGAACAGAACATAGAAGTTCTGTTGACTCCGGAAATGATTGAAGCAGAATTCCCTATGTTGGACCACAAGGACCCCAAAAAGGAGAAGTAAGTGGATGCTTTATGCCTTCCTTAGGAAGAGGCAGCCTTCTGTTAGAATTGGTCCTCCGTGAAGGACAGGAATTGTCACGTCCGTCATCTGAACCTAAATACCTCAGGCTTAAAAAAGAGAGAGGGGTGTGTCTAATTTGATGCACAATTACGGTCTCTCAAGTGTGGTTGGCAGGTAAACGTTTAAGAACTGGACCCAGTTTTTCCATTTGCTTATCATCTAGTTTCAGAGGTGAGTTTGTTTGTTAATGATAACTGAATGAGTCTCATCCGGCATCAGGAACCCCGGGCTCCGGACCCGGAGGAGATCCGTGGCCAAGGCTCAGCCCCACCATTTATGCCGTGTGAGCTCTCCAGCCAAGTTCCTGACACCTCAGTAAACTGAGTTACGGTGTCTTCATGTGCGCCATGCAGGAAATAAAGTCTCCCTCACAGGCCTCACAAGTGTGAGGAGTAAATGAGACACCAGTGCAAGGACGGCCAGCCAGTTGCTTGATGTGAACTGGGTGTTTGGCAAACGTGAGTGCTTCCCTTCGCCTCTCCCTCAGGGGCCGGAGAGCTAAGCAAACACGTCATCATTATCCCTCAAAAAATTGGTTTCTCTTTTTTTTTTAATTGTATATTTATCTGAGAGTGAGAGAGAGATAGAGAGAGAGAAAGCATGAGCAGGTGAGGGACAGCGGGAGAAGCAAGCTCTCCACTGATCAGGGAGCCTGGCGTGGGGCTCCATCCCAGAACTCCCAGATCATGACCTGAGCCAAAGGCAGACGCTTACCCAACTGAGCCACCCAGGCACCCCGAGGGAACATTTTAATTCTTCATTTTCAGGAATTCCTTCTTTTTCTAAACTGCCAGGCATTTGCCAGAACTTTACATTTCATCCCGTTTAGAAAACGTTCCAGAAGCACTTGAGTTTATACTGTATTCTATCTAGGCAGATCATAGAGCTGACCTCACAGTCTTAAGACATCTGTCCTTCCAACCAAATGCACTCCTCAGTTCCTTCCCAGATATTTGGAATATTCTACCGGAAACCCCCTTGCCACACCCAGCAAAGGGCTGGGCTCCACATCAGCCGCCACCTGATCCAGGTGCAGAACCCGCCCTCTGATTCCCCCACTTCTGGAGCCACTCTCAGAGTCAGAGATGTTACAGGCCTACCTTATTCATAGACATGAAGCAGCAACAAATGCTGACTGAACCTTTAGGAGACATCATGTAAGTGATTTCTCATTTCACCTTCTTGAGAACACTGGCAGATGGGAACTACCACTGTCTGTCCATCTGGAAGCAGAGCCTGAGTTAGGGAACTTGGCCACACTAAGAAGCTCATGGAGCGGAGATCAGAAGCCAGGTTTGAATCACTTACCAGCCAAGTGTTTTCACTAGTAACAAAATTATCATCAAACATAGTTTGAAATAGATATATGTGATATCAATCCTATATAAAAACATAAAACAAGTCTTCCAGGGGTGCCTGGGTGGCTTAATTGGTTAAACGTCTGCCTTCGGCTCAGGTCATGATCCCAGAGTCTTGGGATCGAGTCCTACATCAGGCTCCCTTCTCACCTGGAAGCCTGCTTCTCCCTCTCCTTCGGCCCCTCCCCCTGCTTGTGGTCACACGCGCGTGCGCTCTCTCTCTCTCTCTCAGATAAATAAATAAAATCTTAAAAAAAAAAGTCCTCCAGGCTTCACTATCCCCGCGACCCTGAGCCAGCTTCCGGGCACGGGTGGGCAACCTGAGCTGCTACCAAGTGCCCTCATGTGTCCCTGTCCGGTGTTTGATGTACAGAGAGATCAAAGAGCAAGCACATCCTACGGAGAAGCCAGGAGAAAAGGTGCTGGAGGAGATGAAGATTCTACGGGGCAAAGCTCTCAACTCATACCTGATTCTAGGATAAAACCCCCCAGGAGGTCAGTTCCTCTCGTTGGCTTTCTGAGGGTAGCTCAGTCAATGTCCATTGACATTCCGGTCATTTGGGGAGTTAAACTCTCTAGAGAATAAAATTGAAAGGTGGATGATGTATACATTTGTAAGTAACCATTTTTCTTTTGAAAGATAAGACGTCACCAGTGGGATGGCAGTGTTGGAAGGCTCCTTGGTATAAAAATTCAATGCTGGCACCAAGACTTCCGGAGCAAGCCGCAGGCCACCCACCATGTGGAGAGCCCCAGAGCCTTCTACAAGCAGTGTGGTGCTGGGAGGGGGGCTAGGCGGGCAGGGAGAGGGAGAGAAAGGCGGATGCGGAGCAAGTCTGCTCTCTCACCTCTGCATGGAAGCCGCCCCTCGCCCCTGAGCGTCCCAGCCTTGGTGAGGACACTCACTTCCCGGGCATCTATGCAAGGGCACAGGCTGTCCTACATTTGTATTTGCCAAATCTGCTGACAGCGTTCAGCACCCAGCGGTCTTGGGAGAGATGCTGTGCGAGTGCATGCTGGGCTGGCTGCCCAAGGAGGAGAGGGAGTAGGGGACGTGGGAGTTGTGTGTGGGGTGTGAGGCAGGCTTTCCAAACGAGGACAACAGTTCCTTTTTCCCTGGAGTCTGCCGCGTGCCAGGCCCCCTGTTGCGGGCCAGCTCTTCGAGTCCTCACATCCTCCCAGGGAAGGGAATCCCAAGGGTCCCAGGAGCCAGGGGACCCGTCAAGCTGGTGAAAACCCACAAGGCCTGTGTGACTTCGAGGCTGGGCAGAATCAGGGAGGGAGTCTTCAGGCGCCCAGAACTCTGGCGACATCAGCTGTGCTGGGCAGGAGGGGCAGTGAGAGACAGGGACACTGCCTGCCTCTGCCTGAGGACACCAGAGTCTTCATTCTCGAATCACCCACAACAGACCCACAACAGAACTGCCACCTCCTCCTCCTGTCTTAAGCTACCGAATTGTCATGCCTCATCTGCTTAAGGGACACAAGGAGGTCACATTACTTTTACTGTTCAGAGGTCACAATTTGTATCTCCCATCCCACCAAAACGGGAAGATCACACTCACCTTCCAGGGGTTCCTTTTTCCTTCCAGGATAAGGCCAAGCACCCTGGGGAGTCCTACTCAGCCCAAAGGTCTGGTCCTGATGACCTGCTAAGCAGCCCAGGCCTTTGACTGCCCCAGCTCGGTGTCCTGCAGCCTGCTTTCGGCTGGATGCCTGTCTGCTGTGGGGACAGAGACTCGGCCATCACAGCTGAACAAATAGTGGTTCTCCAGGTGGAGGAGGGAAGAGTGGCCTGGGGTGTGGCACACACACGCACACACACACACACACACACACAGAGATGTACACACAAAATACACACAAGACACACAAAATACAAAAGAGTTGCTAAGGGCCATCCAAGAGCTGGGCCTGGATCCAGGTCCAGCAAGAGATACTACCCCAAGCCTGCCCTGTGACAAAGGGGACACACCATCAACAAAAACCAGATTTTACGCTTGTGTTATAAAATCAGGATATGAGAAGTGCTACAAAGAGAGACTAATGTAGGGGCGCCTGGGTGGCTCAGTCGTTAAGCATCTACCTTCCTCCCAGGTCATGATCCCAGGGCTCTAGAATCAAACCCCATATCGTACATCTTGCTCAGCAGGAAGCTTGCTTCTCCCTCTCCCATTCCCCCTGCTGTGTTCCCTCTCTCGCTTTATCTCTCTGCCAAATAAATAAAATCTTTAAAAAAGAAAAATAGATTCTGCCTTCAGCTCAGGTCCTGATGCCAGGGTCCTGGGATCCAGTCCGGCATTGGGCTCTGTGCTGGGTGTGGAGTCTGCTTAAGATTCTTTCTCCCTCTTCCTCTACCCCTGCCCTCCCCCACCACTGTGCACTCTTTTTCTCTCCTAAAATAAATTAATAAATGTTAAAAAAAAAATTCCAGGTTCATCTTATATTTTCTCTGCCTCAGCCCTGGAGTCAACTATTTCTAGCCCTAACTCCTTTTATTGATGTTGTTATGAAGGATGCTCAGAGACAACCCCTGGGTGTTCATTGTTCCTGGGTCTCTGTTTCCAGGCTCTCTCGGTGGACAGAGCTGGGACACCTCTGTATTTTTACCAACCCACACATACACACACATACATGCATAGCTCTGTAGCTCACTCTCCACATCTATCAAGAACATGAATTGAGGGGCATCTGGGTGGCTCAGTGGGTTAAGCCTCTGCCTTTGGCTCAGGTCATGATCTCAGGCTCCCTCAGCGGGGAGCCTGCTTCCCCCTCTCTCTCTGCCTCTCTGCCTACTTGTGATATCTCTCTCTCTCTCTCTCTGACAAATAAATAGATAAATAAAAATCTTTTTAAAAATACTATATAAAAAAAAGAACATGAATTGATTCTGAGACTTCTGATTCTAATCACCAGTTTGTTTCAGCCTTCATTTTAACTCCTTTGTAACCCTCCCCCCACAGTGATTAACCCCATTCTCATTATCTACAGTGTGTTTATTTGTTCACTTTTAGCACATCCGTGAAGGGATGGCCCAATTGTTCACCTATCTCCCGTGAGAAACCCATGTTGTTGTTGTTTTTTTTTGTAGTTTGTTTGTTTGTTTGTTTTTAATATTTTATTTATTTATTTGACAGAGAGAGAGCACAAGCAGGGGAAGAAGCAGAGGGAGAGGCAGAAGCAGGCTCCCTGCAGAGCAGGGGAAGCCTGTTATGGGACTCCATCCCAGGACTCCAGGATCACGACCTGAGCCGAAGGCAGTGGCCTAACCAACTGAGCCACTCAGGCGCCCGAAACCCATGTTTTGACTAGATGACAGTATTTGCCTTCTTGTTGTCATTAGCATTACAGAGTTCAATAAAAATACAGTTTTCCAAAGTTAGGGCTCTTTTTTCCCCTCCACGCATGTCCATGTGGTTCTACCATGCAGTTAGGTTCGTTTGTTCCTGTTTCTATTCCATCTCTGGTTCCCCAACATCCTAGTTGGGTTTAATTATTCGTTTATATTTAGGATGTGCACAGGGTTCGCACAACATTCCCGTGGTTCTCACAGCCACACGAAAGAGGTGCTCGGGGAA